TCAGGGGTCCCTCCACAGGAACATCCCTGTAACTGTTCAGGGGTCCCTGTTACTGTTACTGTTAAGGGGTCCCTCCACAGGAACATCCCTGTAACTGTTCAGGGGTCCCTCCACAGGAATATCCCTGTTACTGTTCAGGGGTCCCTCCACAGGAACATCCCTGTAACTGTTCAGGGGTCTCTCCACAGGGATATCCCTGTTACTGTTCAGAGGTCACTCCACAGGTATATCCCTGTTACTGTTCAGAGGTCACTCCACAGGAACATCCCTGTTACTGTTCAGGGGTCCCTTCACAGGAATATCCCTGTTACTGTTCAAGGGTCCCTCCACAGGAATATCCCTGTTACTGTTCAGGGGTCCCTCCACAGGAACATCCCTGTTACTGTTCAGAGGTCTCTCCACAGGAATATCCCTGTTACTGTTCAGAGGTCACTCCACAGGAATATCCCTGTTACTATGCTGGGATAGCTCCAGAGCACACATATGTCTTTGAAGGATTCCATTTTGAAGAAACCTGTTTAAGAGAAAAGATTACGTCCAATGCAAAACCTTATTGTTATTAAGAGATCATTCCCATTGAAAAATTGCAAAAAATCTTGATTCCAACTAGAAACCTGTAATTCCATTAAAAACTTTTTCTTTAGGAATCCACGACTTGCAGTAGGAATCTCTTGGACCCTTGTGGCTTCAAAGCCCTGTTTTAAATGTCTGTTTGAGGATTTGCCGTTTTCTCTGACTATGGATTTCTTGTTAAAGTTGTCGGAGAATACCATCTTGTTTTGCTGAATAACATCAGACAACTTTAAGATAAGGAAGTATTGAAATTGAATTAAACTCTTTCATTTTGTGTATGTCTTTCTGCTATTGGTGGATTTTATCAAATCATCTTGAATCACAAGGTTGCAAGGCCCATTAAGTCAGAATGAGGGAAAATAGTATAATTATGGTAATATGGTTTTTCACTGTTTCATTTGGTATGTGGGCTGAAAGACTAAGTCAGACAAAGGGAAAGCTGACACTTGGCCTATAGCTTGGGCAGGGATGGGTAATCATTCTCAAGACTTGTGTAGCCATATATAGAATTAGTTTAAGGTAGATACCACTCTATGTGTCAGTGTAGGGTAGACAGGTGATACCACTTCAGATTCAGTTTGGGGGAGATAGGTACTGCGATTGGCAGCATCAGTGTGAATATTGTCCACAGCAGCTATAGCCTGCTTGTTTCATTCTGTATGAAAGCAGTTGTGCATCATCTGTTGACATGACATTATCAGAAATATAGTGGATTAATATGACATTATCAGAAGTGTCCTGTGTTGACATGACATCAGAAACATGCTATATCAGTATGAAATTATCAGAAGTGTCCTGTGTTGACATGACATCAGAAATATGCTATATTAATGTGACATTATCAGAAGTGTCCTGTGTTGACATGACATTATCAGAAATGCCGTGTATAGATATGACATTATCAGAAGTGTCCTGTGTTGACATGACATCAGAAATATGCTATATTAATGTGACATTATCAGAAGTGTCCTGTGTTGACATGACATCAGAAACATGCTATATCAGTATGAAATTATCAGAAGTGTCCTGTGTTGACATTTACAATTACAACAAATGTGTATGGACATCAGCTGAAACAAAACATCAGAAACATACCTTGCATGTAAATCTTTTAATAGATCTTAAAACAAAGTCTTTAATAATAAAAACATTTCTGATACAAAAGTCAGTTAATAGACAAACATGTAATCAAACTGAAAGCAGATAAACTCACTCACACGGGATTTAACTTATTACTCATTACAAAGTTCTGAAGGTAGAATGGATCTGAATGACGATTATCACAGACATACCTAGAAATGAGTATCACAGACATTTTTTGGAATGAGGGAGCCTAAATCACATCAAAAATATAAGAATATTTTCTAAAATTTAATGTGAAAACAATGAAGACCAGATTGTAATAGAGTTACCCTGAAAAGTGAATGGATTTATTTTCAGATCATGAAACTCTGTTCACTGTCTGGCTGTTTTGAACTCTTGACCTGCTGATTATGGGCGTGTGCTAACCTTTCGTATTAATTACATTCACTGGTGTGTAAACCAATTATATCTGGTAATTATACACTAGTCATTACTGACATCAATATCACATCACACCGTGGGAGGGGTTTGTCTGTAGATCTGGTGTGTGAGAGTTATCACATCACACCGGGGGAGGGGTTTGTCTGTAGATCTGGTGTGTGAGAGCAATAATGTCACACTGTGTGAGGGGTTTGTCTTTAGATCTGGTGTGTGAGAGCAATTATGTCATACTGTGGGAGGGGTTTGTCTGTAGATCTGGTGTGTGAGAGTAATAACATCACACCGTGGGAGGGGTTTGTCTGTTAAAGTTGTCCTATGTAGTACAAGCTATCCTATTTAGCGTATTTTCCACAAAGTACAAGTTATCCTGTTAAGCATATTTTCCATGAAGTACAAGTTATCCTGTTTAGCGTATTTTCTACAAATTACAAGTTATCCTGTTTAGTGTATTTTCCACAAAGTACAAGTTATTCTATTAAGTGTATTTTCCACAAAGTACAAGTTATCCTGTTAAGTGTATTTTCCATGAAGTACAAGTTATCCTGTTAAGCGTATTTTCCACAAATTACAAGTTATCCTATTTAGCGTATTTTCCACAAAGTACAAGTTATCCTGTTTAGTGTATTTTCCATGAAGTACAAGTTATCCTGTTAAGCGTATTTTCCACAAATTACAAGTTATCCTGTTTAGTGTATTTTCCATGAAGTACAAGTTATCCTGTTTAGCGTATTTTCCACAAATTACAAGTTATCCTGTTTAGTGTGTTTTCCACAAATTACAAGTTATCCTATTAAGTATATTTTCCATGAAGTACAAGTTATCCTGTTTAGTGTGTTTTCCACAAATTACAAGTTATCCTATTAAGTATATTTTCCATGAAGTACAAGTTATCCTGTTTAGTGTATTTTCCATGAAGTACAAGTTATCTTGCTAAGTTTATATGCCACCTAGTACCATTCTGTATTGGCTAATGGCCTCAACATATTAGCAGCTTCACTACCACATGTAAACACAGGATTAAACCTGTGTGTATCACTGCAGTCAGCCAGGTATTTTTGGATTCAGGGAAAAAAAGGGAAGTTCTTTAGAAAGTTGGCAGCCTGACAGGGAATGTGATGGTACACTTGAGTGTTGTTTGTGTCTATACACCAGGCTGTGAATCACCCTTCCTATACTAGCAGGCCTAGGTACAGACCATGGTGCTAGCTGTACATTGTTATCTGTGTGGTGCTCCAACACAACGCTTCATACTAGCTGTATACAAAACGGTTGAATTTATGTTGAAATGTATGATACTGTAATGGAAGAAATTTGTGTTTCATTGACATGTTTGGATAATATGGATTGTGTTTAAATGTGGTACTGAAACTTCAGATTTGTGGTGCTGAAACTTTACATTTGTGGTGCTGAAACTTCAATGTCTGTGTGGTACTGAAACTTCACATTTGTGGTGCTGAAACTTCACATTTCTGGTGCTGAAACTTCACATTTGTGGTGCTAAGTCTACAATGTCTGTGTGGTGCTGAAACTTCACATTTGTGGTGCTGAGACTTCAATGTCTGTGTGGTGCTGAAACTTCACATTTCTGGTGCTATTTTACAATGTCTGTGTGGTGCTGAAACTTCACATTTGTGGTGCTGAAACTTCACATTTGTGGTGCTAAGTCTACAATGTCTGTGTGGTACTGAAACTTCACATTTGTGGTGCTGAAACTTCACATTTGTGGTGCTAAGTCTACAATGTCTGTGTGGTGCTGAAACGTCACATTTCTGGTGCTGAAACTTCACATTTGTGGTACTGAAACTTCACATTCGTGGTACTGAAACTTCACATTTGTGGTGCTGAAAATTCACATTTCTGGTGCTATTTTACAATGTCTGTGTGGTGCTGAAACTTTACATTTCTGGTGCTGAGACTTCAATGTCTGTGGTGCTAAAACTTCATTTTCTGTGGTGATAATACATAGTTTCTAAGGTGCCTTGACTGAAGAAATTTGTGTAGATATGTGACATAGTGATTAAATGATGCTAAAATTAAATTTCTGATGAAGGAATTCGGCTCTGTCAGACACAATATGCGGTGTAATCCCTAATTGTTTGTATGGCTCTGACAATAACAGATTCAATGTGTCATTTCATGATATCGTAAATAACAATGGGAATGATTTTAAGTGACAAAATGACACTGTCAGTCAATGCTGTTGAAGGATAGTAATAAAAGTAGCCTGGCAAATTATTGAGAATGGAAGGTGACTTTGTGTGGGATTCAGTTGTCTATATCCTGAAGTATCAGGTATTCAGGATCATGAGGTGACAATCAAAAGATTCCTTTTTCCCTGAAGCAGATACTTGTGTCCCTAAAGGTTCCTCATACCACCTCCGAGGGAATAACAGATATCTGACGAGGTCCATTCAGTTATTATACAACCCCTCAGCTGGAGTGAGGTTCATAATACCCCTGTAGGGCTTCACATGGTCTGGAGAGGATACACTGTTGTAATGTGATAGAAACTGTGTGGTATTTCTAGTGCATCATGTAACACACTAAAATGTAGAAATGATGATCATACACACAAAAATGTATTCCTGACTTGTGATTTCTGGGATTCTTAAAATGTGACATATATTCAAGTTGTGAGAAAATAATGGATTTTCTATTAATTTGTTAAACATGGATTACATTGTTGTATCAGCTATAAAACATTACCAGGACAATACAGACATTCTCATCCTCTATCGTTGTGTTATGGAGTTTGATGATGTTATACTCTGGAGATTTGTGTAATTGTGTAATGGATATCTGTGATACTGAGTGAATTCTATTTTGTCATTCAAGTTGATGGGATTTTTTTTATTTCTGATCTTGTTAGCAAGTTCTGCTGAACAGAATATACCAACGTAAATATGAGATATGCAAGACGTGTACCTGTGGTTAGTATAAATACATCCTATCTGATACATAGAAGATAATGTATCATATTTATCCAATAATAAACCTACGTCTCGTAATAGACATATGTCTGGTAATAAGCCCATGTCTGGTAATAAGCCCATGTCTGGTAATAAGTCCATGTCTGGTGATAAGTCCATGTCTGGTAATAAGCCCATGTCTGGTAATAAGCAAATGTCTGATAATAAGCCCATGTCTGGTAATAAGTCCATGTCAGTAATAAGTCTGTATCTGGTAATAAGCCCATGTCTGGTAATAAGCCCATGTCTGGTAATAAGCAAATGTCTGATAATAAGACCATGTCTGGTAATAAGCCCATGTCTGGTAATAAGCCCATGTCTGGTAATAAGCCCATGTCTGGTAATAAGCAAATGTCTGATAATAAGACCATGTTCTTATCTAGTTTCCTGTGATAAGCACACCCTGACTGTGTTAGAGGCAATGTGTTAGGCCTCATGGGTCCTTTAATAAGCCCACCCCCTGACTGTGTCAGAGGCAATGTGTTGTCCCCTGGAGTCCTGTAATAAGCCCACCCCCTGACTGTGTCAGAGGCAATGTGTTGTCCCATGTCTGGTAATAAGCCCATGTCTGGTAATAAGCCAGTGTCTGGAAATAAGTCTAAATCTGTTAATAAGCCAACATGTTCTTATCTAGTTTCCTGTGATAAGCCCACCCCCTGACTGTGTCAGAGGCAATGTGTTGTCCTCTGGAGTCCTGTAATAAGCCCACCCCCTGACTGTGTCAGAGGCAATGTGTTGTCATGTCCTGTAATAAGCCCACCCCCTGTACTGTGTCATAGGCCAATGTGTTGTCCCCTGGAATAATAAGCCCACCCCCTGACTGTGTCAGAGGCAATGTGTTGTCCTCTGGAGTCCTGTAATAAGCCCACCCCCTGACTGTAATCAGAGGCAATGTGTTGTCCCCTGGTTTCCTGTAATATTCCCACCCCCTGACTGTGTCAGAGGCAATGTGTTGTCCCCTGGAGTCCTGTAATAAGCCCACCCCCTGACTGTGTCAGAGGCAATGTGTTGTCCCCTGGAGTCCTGTAATAAGCCCACCCCCTGACTGTGTCAGAGGCAATGTGTTGTCCCCTGGAGTCCTGTAATAAGCCCACCCCCTGACTGTGTCAGAGGCAATGTGTTGTCCCCTGGAATCCTGTAATAAGCCCACCCCCTGACTGTGTCAGAGGCAATGTGTTGTCCCCTGGAGTCCTGTAATAAGCCCACCCACTATATTTTTACTTTTTCTATCCTATATGTATACAACAATGATCAGGATAAGAACCATTGGGCAGCTGTCTGTTCTAATTCTTTTACTCCGTAATATATTTGATAAGAAAGTTGTAACTACTGTTTTTTTCAATGCACAGATTTTAAGAGAAATATTTGCTGTAGGCAGGGCTAGAATAATAAGAGATCAAGAATTTTATTATTTTGTTTTATTTAAACTTTTCAAGTTGTTTCATCAACCAGCATTGATTTGTTGTTTTACAAACAGCAAATGCTGTTGATGGCATTCATATTGAATGTCTTGTAAAATGATAAAATGTTATGAACACCGAAAAACCCAAAACAAGGGGGACAATAGGGAGGTGTTAGTTGATACATTTGTTGATTGACATTTGTATGTCTATTTCATTTGGTAACTAAACTAAACTTATGTATTTGTTTATTTTCCAGACCCTCAATAGGGGACCAGTTGTCATAGGAACGAGGGATGTGATAACAGGAAATGATGTCATCAACAACCGACCAATTGAATTTAATTCCACACGGAATATGGATCAGTTCTTTAACTGCGATAACAAAACCACAAACTTCGACCCACAGAATTTGGCAAAAGGGACGGAGGACAAAAGTAAGAAATCCCGTAGTAAAAATTCCAAAGGCAAAACAACATGGCAAGAACTCTCACCAAAGAAGGAGAGAAAGTCGCTGTTATCGGGTGAAAGTAGTGGCAGTGGGAGTTCCTCCACAGCCAGTAGCCCGACAAAATCATGGAAAAGTTCGGAAAAGGGAACGAATCAAAATCAGATGTTGACATGGCGTGATGTGTCTCCAACAAAATCTGACCGTGGAATTGTTTCTTCGTCATCTGACTCTCAGTATAGTCCAAAGCGTGAACCAGGACGCCTGTCATCATCCTCCGACTCTCAGTACAGTCCCAGACGGGATCACACACGCCAGCTATCATCATCATCAGATTCACAATATAGCCCTCGACGCGAAAAATTATCCTCCTCATCCTCTGACTCACAATACAGTCCAAAACGTAGACCCAACAGGGGTCAACGAGGGTATATACGCAGCCCAGAACATGCATGTTCACGGCACAGGACTGGTATTGTCAATCAAAATGAGGCTTATAAAGTTCAGGATAGCCCTGAACATGGACATGACCGATTTTCTCCTCCATCCCCATCACGGGGTTTCCCAGCAGCAGGGGCCATGGATGATGCGACTAGTAATGACTATTTTTATGATGAGGATTTCACCGTTCAGTTTGACACAAATCTCCGTGAATCTTCGCCAGGAGTCAACTGCTCGTGTGTTGATCCTGATCTTATGATTGGATTTCCTCATGTAGTCACCGGGAGTTACCTCAGCTTTGGGGGCGAAGCAAAGGGAACAAATATTATAGATCAGAATTCAACAGAACTCTTTTGTCCGGATGAGTCAGAATTATCTTACAGTCGTAATTCGGCTATGGATGTGTCGACAAGTGAGCGTGAGATGATGTGTTCAAGTGATATGCTGGACTTTAGTGACAACCCCTTGTTTACACCATCTCCAACAGGGGAACTTCATGGTGCAGGAGATCTTCATGGTACAGCGGAACATGTGATGACTGACAGCCTTGATAAGGTCACTGTCAAGTGTCAGTTCCCCGTTCTTGGCCTGACCCCGGAACAGTACCAAGGTCAAGCTCAAAACAATATGGAAATGTCATCCAGTCGTACATCAAGTGAAAATAATTTCTGTCTCAACTGTTGTCCCAGGAAAGATGAATACCATTTATCATTTGTTGGGTCCCAGGGGAGTAAGGGATCTGGCTCTGACCTTGAAAATTCTCTGACTTCATTAGAATCAGGTCAAGGTCGTTATAGTCAGCAACAAGGAAGTGTGTGTTCTACAGATGGAGAGGAATGCTCGGACAGTTTTCATTTCTGTTACTCGGGAAGTGGGCCCCACGTGGGCCATGGTAAGGTGAAGGGTTTGGGTTCGCGGGGCCAGAAGTTTCAAGCTCTAGGAGGTATACAGGAAACATCGATGGAACATTCTGTGTCTAGTGAGGACTCGGTTAATATTTCTCCTAAACTTACCCCAACCTCCAAACAGGACCTCAAACTCTTTGGTTCTGGGACCCTGCCCCGACATGTCAGTGGTCGAGGTTGTCAGGTTACCTCCCCTAAAAAACGTTTTCAAGCCTTGACTGCAGGTCATTCCCCGTCAAGGTCAACACTACCTCTTGGTGGTCGACAGAGGTCAAAGAAGGTGACATCTTGGAGACAGGTAAAGAGTTTGCGGCGATTAGGTAAATTAGAGAGTGTGCTGGATCCATCGCGGAGTACAAGTATGCCTGATCTATGTCTCCACCAAGCTTGGCAATCATTATCATCGCAGGACATTCAGCGATTAGCCGAAAGCTTTCATAACAAACGCCATTCGGCTTACTTATTGGATTTGTACCAAAGAGCAAAGGACCAATCCAATCCTGTGTCTCCTGAAACAATGGCAAACATCGAACAGATTCTGTTCCAACATCCGCTTAATCAGCTTCACCATCACCATGCCGACCACTCACTGGCCCATCCCAACAACAACTGTAGTGAGATAACTCGTGAGGACTCGTACAGCGATCATACTCTCACCAACAGTCATGCCCAGTTCCTGTCTGCTGGCGTTACCACAACAACACATTCCAGTCCTGGCCCTGCAGCCTCTCCCCAACCTCATCCGCTTCAGTACTCTACCCGTAAGCGCATTCTTGATTGGCTGGAAAAGGAGAAATTTGATGCTACCAATAAATCTAAGGGGTCGCAGACAGAGGTGACCAAGTGCACAAAAGAGACAGTTGTCTCCCCTACGACAATCACACTCTGGTGCGGAACTAAAAACTTTAGCTCCCAGTTTCCGCCAAGTATGAAAGATTGTGCCATACAAACAACTGCTACGGAGGACGTAAAACCCAAAAAACCAAGCATGCATGACTCATCTCAACAAACAACACCAATATCAGAAAAAAATTCAGTTCTGTCAATGTTACCGGAAAGCTTTAATGACCTAAATGAAATTTTGCCAAAATTTGAGCCCCCTGATGGCAAGAAATCTAAAGGAGTAATACCTCGGTCCAAAAGTGCTGACAGTGCTCGGAAGAAATCATCATTAACGGTTGGAATCTGTGAGAAAAACACTTTTTATTCCCACAAATCCCTGCCAGATCTGAGCTTCCTGTCTGCAACTGTTTTTGCGACAGATTCTGAAATCTCACTCTTTGATCCACTTCCCTTAAACCTCCCACTACCAGTATTCTCAGAGAGCGAGGAATATGCAAAAACTCAGGAATATATCCGCAATAAGGCTGCCTACAATTCTCACTATGGGCGACAGGAGGCACCGTCCGGTGCTAACTACAAACGGTCGCGCTCTGCGCCCCCACGTAATCCCATCAACGCAAATCTGTCTCGGAATTGTGCAGAATCAGGATCAAGCAGCAGTGGGTTTAGTACAAGTTCAACATCCTCAGGAATTGATCCTGGGTATAGTGAGCCACGCTCTTTCCACAATGGTAGTCCCTCTAATGACATAGAAAGATTGCTCTTCTACCCGCCCCATGTGGAAATCTCCAGTTCCTCAAAATCCCCGTGTAATGTCTGTAAATCCGAGGATGGGAATGACATTGGGCAGATCTCTTCAGGTCCACCTCCACATCTTCTGACCAATCAGCTTCAAGGAAACAACAAAACCTTGGTACGACCTACAGCAGAGAAACCAGATGATAAGAAGATACACCGTTACACAAATGAGGTACATCCAGGAATGATGGATGTAAGACATCGACCCAAACAGCCAGTAAAGCCTGTGGTTGCCTCCACAGTTACTCCAAACTCATCACATCTGGAGCATTTGTATGTTTTACAAGAAGAGCAGACACCAGTATCATCACCGGAACGTGTCAGTCCGAGTCCATACAGTGGTCGCTTTGACCACACCCTACAGTGTTGTCATGACAACTGTACCTGTTATCTGAGCTTGGAGAATGAACGTTTGGCAGAGTGGCGACGAGATCAGCTGATTCTCCGTAGGAAACTAGACTACCAGATTCAGCTGTCAAGTGAATCAGGGTCATCGTCAAGCTCGAGCTTAGTTCCAAATATTGACAAGAAGCCTTTGAAGTCTTGTCTTCGTAAGAAGCAGGTCCTAAGGTCAAGGTCAATGTCAGAGCCATACCTAATACAGCAGATTGAAGGACGTAGACTTCAAGGTCAAAAGGTCAATCGTCATTCTTATGCCTGTGAGGAGATTTACCTGCTGCAGGACGAGACTGGTGAGTATTTCCTGTGTGAGAATAAGGATGAAACAGAAGAAGAAGAGGTAGAGGACGAGGAAGATGACGACAAGGACACCAGTGATCCTGTAATGTTTTACCTAGAGGATGACAGCGTAGGAAACTCACAAACTGTGCGTCGGCGACAGAAGAAACCTGTCGAGGAGAAGAAAGAAAGCTGCGATGATTCATCCGACAAGGAACTCAGTGGGAAGCGTAAGAGTGTTAGCTTTGCCTCTGAGGTGTCTTTCCATGCTATCAGTCCACAGGATTCTCCAAAACGTCGTGACACTCATAGCGATACTGATGACTGCGAGGACATGGATACTAATAAACAGACAATGGATTGTTCACCAAAGGAAAGTCCTAGGGAACAGTCGGCAGAGTTGACAGCTACACCAGGTAAGGTTACCTTTGGAGCAGAATAACTAATACAGCGAAACCCATTGAAACTGACCATGCATTGGTTATAAATCTTTGGGGAGGGAAGCAAGTAGACTGGTCCAGACTACGATATAAATAACTAAATCTGTCTGATGATCTTACATTAACATAGTACTTGTCCAAATGAATACAGAAGAAAAAGCTCTGTAGAATAAATATTTTTCAACAAAGTGAAACAACAGTAATACTTGTATATTATTTGTGACTTTTGTCAAAGAGAAATTGGCACATTGCCAGGAAAACTTGAAAATAACAATACATACGGCCTAACAGCCTAACGTAGCCAAAGTGGGATGGTCGGCTTGTCTGAAAGTGTTACCAACCAATATTTTTGACGATCAGTTGAGAAATGTATCTTCTAAGGTAACACTTGATTAATATTTCCATTCTGTACATGATGAAATAGCATTATTTAATTACCTATGATTTAGATGGGAAACTGTGGCTTTTTTATGATTCTCCCGATCAAGTCAAACTTGCCAACATTTCAAAATTCTCATGAGGGAGAAAAGTATGTGAACAACATTTTTGACTCACCATGATGCATTGTGCATCGTGACATTTGTCACAAATGAAAAATTAGATAATGCATATTTGATCAATACATTTTGATAATTTTAAATTGATAAAGTGCATGCTTTAATATACTATAACAATGAAAAATATCTGCTTTTTATTTGCAAGTAAGGATCAAGTTGGAATTAATTCATTTAACTTCTCAGTTTTCATTGAACTCGCACAATATAAGAGATATTAGGATGGGGAATTATCTGTTTGGTTGTTATATATCAGGGCTCTCGATCTGCCAGATTTGGGGCCGAATATTCCCAATGCAAAATAGTATCTTTTTTTCCTAATTTAGACCCCAAGTTTTCCCAATTCTAAGGAAAACACCGGGCCCCAGTCCCAAAATGAGGGTGTGAGAGCCTTGTATATCTAAATATGTATATATATTTAGGAAATGTCTGAAGACAGATAAAAATCGGGAAATGTTAGTCATCTTTTCTGTTAGTGAATATTGGTTTGATCTGTTTTTTTATTTGTGATGCCAATTTTGTAAGGATTGATTTTATTAAATTATTTCTTCTTGAATTTTTTATTTGACCGAACAGGTTGTATAAACATGGTAATAACTACTTAACTACCGGTAAAATGACCTCATCTTAACCAAATATTTACCAGGGCCCACTCCTGAGTCCTGACCAATGGTCTAACTTTAATTAATCAGGGAACAATTGGCCATGTACCTGTGTGCTCCCAAGCACAGTGGTCAGCGAGGTTTAACTTGAATTGGATGACACTAATTAGATAATTAAGCTATGTACTCATCAAGCCAGGCCTTGATTATGTGGCCAGGAGGTCAGCCTTACCAATTTGACAAATATAGCAAGGTTATTGATGACCTACCTAGCGGATCTCTGAAATGAGCTGTATCATCTAGGTGTAGGTTATATTTGGGAGTCAGAAAACAATACGGATGTTCATTATAATATAATCAGAGAAAGAATGTTTGATATGTTTAGACAAGATTGTAAAGAAAAAGTCAGAACTTCCTCGAAAGGACAAATTTATACTCATCTTTATCATGATAATGATTTACAAAGCTATCTGAAAAAATCAATACCTAGGGAATTGTTGAGAGAAATTACAAAAATAAGACTATCTTCTCATAATCTAAAAGTAGAAAAAGGCCGATATCAAAATATATCAAGAAATTTAAGAATATGTTCTAATTGTGATTTGAATGATATCGAAGACGAATTCCATTTTATATTGAAATGTCCCTGTTATTCGAACCTCAGAAGAAAATTTTTGAAAAGATACTATTATAAAAAACCTAGTATGTTTAAATTGATAGAATTCTTAAATGCAAACAATACAAAAGAAATAACAAACTTGTCTAAATATATTAAGGCAGCTTACATTTTAAGAGAAAATCACAATTGATAGCCTAGTTTACTGTCTCCGGGTTTGTGTTGTTTCTGTGTTTTTTGTATATTGTTATATGTTTGTAAATCGTCTATGTGTTGTTTGCTTTAACCAATGAGTCACACGACTCAAGGTAATAAAGAACTTGAAATCGGGATATTTCCCAAATTCTGATCCATATGATTGGGAGGTGGGGGTAGGTGGTGAAAATCGGGATACTCCCGACTGAATCAGGAAAGTTGGCAGGCATGCTTGATTGGTCTGGTAAGGCTGGTTTTCAAAAGTGATTTTCAGCATATTTCTATCATTTTGAACACAAAATCGGTTCAATATTTGGAATTGAGATGGATCAGCACTGGGAAGGTTTTTATTACTATAATAAAGAGGACGTCCTTCCGTACCTGGCCACATGATCGGTTTTGGGAAGGATCAGTTTGGGGAAATTGCACTTTATACTCTTGCACCCAAATACACTGACAATGACCCAGCAACACCACCAAAGCTTTCTCCTCACAAATATTCAATAATTTACTCCAAACATGCAACTTTTCTTTTCTTTTTCCAAAATTACAGCATTGTCATTACAGACAAACTTATGCATTATTCTTATCATTTCAAAAGTCTTCTTCTTCATACCTCAAAGTCCTACAATTTCTTTATCAAAACTGTTTATATCTCTACTATTGTTACTTGTTTCCATCAGAAGTATCTAAAAAATGTGTCTACTGCTGCATGTGAAAAGAATTATGTGTAATTGTTAAACACACTACATTTTTCTTATATACTTGATGTATTCAGAGTTACCAGAATCTACTCCCAAACCAATCAGTGCCCAGACATTAGTAAGCAGCCTGGCCTCTTCAGCAGACTCTGACTCTGCTCCACCAGCCGAGTTCCTTCTATCACCACCTCAACCGGAGCCCCAATCATCTGCTTTCAGCCATGCCCTCGCTCTCGGTCCTGAGACTGCACGCCGAAGAGGTAAGACCCCTCGCGCGCTTACATCCGGGCCAACAAGAGTGATTAGTATAAGTTGACATAACTTGTTTCGCAATTGTTGTAAAATAAATAAAGTTTATATTTATATAAGATATTTCACTTTTGATCATCTCTCTACAAACTTCTACAAATTTGGAGAGTGAAGATCGTTAGATTTGTTTTCCGTTGTAAAAATAAGACCGTGACAATGTTGCTCTTTTTATCAACAATGACAATATAACTTTGTTTACATTTACAGTGATGCTGCACGAGGTTTCTGCAGCTGCCGAATCTTTAGTCAGACATTTCGCAAAAGCAATGAATCCTTTCGACAAGGTAAATATTGTAATCCTAGCCAGACAAAGGAATGAATTCTTTCTATCTTAATCCTAGCCAGACAAAGGAATGAATTCTTTCTATCTTAATCCTAGCCAGACAAAGGAATGAATTCTTTCTATCTTAATCCTAGCCAGACAAAGGAATGAATTCTTTCAATCTTTATCCTAGCCAGACAAAGGAATGAATTCTTTCTATCTTAATCCTAGCCAGACAAAGGAATGAATTCTTTCTATCTTAATCCTAGCCAGACAAAGGAATGAATTCTTTCTATCTTAATCCTAGCCAGACAAAGGAATGAATTCTTTTAATCTTTATCCTAGCCAGACAAAGGAATGAATTCTTTCAATTTTAATCCTAGCCAGACAAAGGAATGAATTCTTTCTTTATCCTAGCCAGACAATCCTAGCCAGACAAAGGAATGAATTCTTTCTATCTTAATCCTAGCCAGACAAAGGAATGAATTCTTTCTATCTTAATCCTAGCCAGACAAAGGAATGAATTCTTTCTATCTTAATCCTAGCCAGACAAAGGAATGAATTCTTTTAATCTTTATCCTAGCCAGACAAAGGAATGAATTCTTTCAATTTTAATCCTAGCCAGACAAAGGAATGAATTCTTTCTATCTTAATCCTAGCCAGACAAAGGAATGAATTCTTTCTATCTTAATCCTAGCCAGACAAAGGAATGAATTCTTTCAATCTTAATCCTAGCCAGACAAAGGAATGAATTCTTTTAATCTTTATCCTAGCCAGACAAAGGAATGAATTCTTTTAATCTTTATCCTAGCCAGACAAAGGAATGAATTCTTTCTATCTTAATCCTAGCCAGACAAAGGAATGAATTCTTTCTATCTTAATCCTAGCCAGACAAAGTAATGAATTCTTTTAATCTTTATCTTTTAATCTATCCTAGCCAGACGAAGGAATGAATTCTTTCTATCTTAATCCTAGCCAGACAAAGGAATGAATTCTTTCTATCTTAATCCTAGCCAGACAAAGGAATGAATTCTTTCTATCTTAATCCTAGCCAGACAAAGTAATGAGTAATGAATTCTTTTAATCTTTATCCTAGCCAGACAAAGGAATGAATTCTTTTAATCTTTATCCTAGCCAGACAAAGGAATGAATTCTTTCTATCTTAATCCTAGCCAGACAAAGGAATGAATTCTTTCAATCTTAATCCTAGCCAGACAAAGGAATGAATTCTTTTAATCTTTATCCTAGCCAGACAAAGGAATGAATTCTTTCTATCTTAATCCTAGCCAGACAAAGGAATGAATTCTTTTAATCTTTATCCTAGCCAGACAAAGGAATGAATTCTTTCTATCTTAATCCTAGCCAGACAAAGGAATGAATTCTTTCAATCTTAATCCTAGCCAGACAAAGGAATGAATTCTTTTAATCTTTATCCTAGCCAGACAAAGGAATGAATTCTTTTAATCTTTATCCTAGCCAGACAAAGGAATGAATTCTTTCTATCTTAATCCTAGCCAGACAAAGGAATGAATTCTTTTAATCTTTATCCTAGCCAGACAAAGGAATGAATTCTTTCTATCTTAATCCTAGCCAGACAAAGGAATGAATTCTTTCAATCTTAATCCTAGCCAGACAAAGGAATGAATTCTTTCTATCTTAATCCTAGCCAGACAAAGGAATGAATTCTTTCTATCTTAATCCTAGCCAGACAAAGGAATGAATTCTTTTAATCTTTATCCTAGCCAGACAAAGGAATGAATTCTTTCTATCTTAATCCTAGCCAGACAAAGGAATGAATTCTTTCAATCTTAATCCTAGCCAGACAAAGGAATGAATTCTTTTAATCTTTATCCTAGCCAGACAAAGGAATGAATTCTTTCTATCTTAATCCTAGCCAGACAAAGGAATGAATTCTTTTAATCTTTATCCTAGCCAGACAAAGGAATGAATTCTTTCTATCTTAATCCTAGCCAGACAAAGGAATGAATTCTTTCAATCTTAATCCTAGCCAGACAAAGGAATGAATTCTTTCTATCTTAATCCTAGCCAGACAAAGGAATGAATTCTTTCTATCTTAATCCTAGCCAGACGAAGGAATGAATTCTTTTAATCTTTATCCTAGCCAGACAAAGGAATGAATTCTTTCTATCTTAATCCTAGCAAGACATGATATGATAAATATGATTAATGACAAACTTCTGTTAATTCACAAGGTTGTTTTAGAACTAAAGTTATATTGGAAAAATTTCCCAAACCTGCCATATTGTTCCAAGACCTACAAGGGAGATAACTGGTATCATTGTAGGTGTCAATATTTAGATGAGGGGTACCTGAACTTCTGTACATTGTATTGGATTGGGCGAATCAAACTTCCCATATTCTATATTTAGACTGTGTAATCTAAACTTGATGTGTTCGATATTTACAACCTCAAATTTCTCGCATTTTATCTTTAGTTGCGACTAGGGAGTACGGCAGATAGCCCAGAAGTGGGAGAACTGGTATTATCCACTCTGTGTTCAGTCTTGACCCGTGTGGTCAGTGACGGGATGAAGCCCTACCTGGCCGGTGTCCAAGTGTTTGGTCGTGTCCAGGTGACTGTGTGGAAGGTAGCGGAGGCTTCAGGTGAACAAGGTAGGAATAACTTGTTCTTAGCTATATTACATTTACAACTTAATCTCTGATAATATATATAACCCAAATTCACAGAAATAAATATTTTCAAATTTTAATATGTTTGTGCTTGTGAAAACATCTGCATTTTATCATGGTTATGTAATATTGTTGGTTAGGATTCGCCAATTTTTCTTTCCTTCTGTCCTGTGTTTGATGTGTCTTCTTTGGTAAACACATAGCTTTACTATTAACCATTGAAAAGGTTTCATATGAACAATATCTTTATTGCACAGGTCTGAGTGATATGTTATTAAATGTGTACATATTACAGGTCCATATACTAGGGCAGTACACGAGCTTGTTCAACAACTCAAAGCAAACAACGGACTTACAACCAATACCATGAAGTTTGAGGCTTTCATCTTCAGCCTTCTTAAGTAAGTTATATCCAGTGTGAATCACAGCCATATCATCAGTTCAAAAAGTTTGCCATGGCAATGTGTGTTTAGTAGGATCACACAGTAAAAGAGTCCCTTTGTCCAACATCTGGAATACTGTGAGACTTATCACAACTGCTGTCTCATGAGATGTGTCTGGATTCAATCTAGAATAGAGAGACGTAAAGCTAGAAGCTGGAAAATATTAAGTTTCAGGTAGCAGTCTAGAATAGAGGGACGTAAAGCTAGAAGCTGGAAAATATTAAGTTTCAGGTAGCAGTCTAGAATAGAGGGACGTAAAGCTAGAAGCTGGAAAATATTAAGTTACAGGTAGAACTCAGTCTAGAATAGAGGGACTTAAAGCTAGAAGCTGGAAAATATTAAGTTACAGGTAGAACTCAGTCTAGAATAGAGGGACTTAAAGCTAGAAGCTGGAAAATATTAAGTTACAGGTAGAACTCAGTCTAGAATAGAGGGACGTAAAGCTAGAAGCTGGAAAATATTAAGTTACAGGTAGCAGTCTAGAATAGAGGGACGTAAAGCTAGAAGCTGGAAAATATTAAGTTACAGGTAGAACTCAGTCTAGAATAGAGGGACTTAAAGCTAGAAGCTGGAAAATATTAAGTTACAGGTAGAACTCAGTCTAGAATAGAGGGACTTAAAGCTAGAAGCTGGAAAATATTAAGTTACAGGTAGAACTCAGTCTAGAATAGAGGGACTTAAAGCTAGAAGCTGGAAAATATTAAGTTACAGGTAGAACTCAGTCTAGAATAGAGGGACTTAAAGCTAGAAGCTGGAAAATATTAAGTTACAGGTAGAACTCAGTCTAGAATAGAGGGACTTAAAGGTAGAAGCTGGAAAATATTAAGTTACAGGTAGAACTCAGTCTAGAATAGAGGGATGTAAAGCTAGAAGCTGGAAAATATTAAGTTACAGGTAGAACTCAGTCTAGAATAGAGGGACTTAAAGCTAGAAGCTGGAAAATATTAAGTTACAGGTAGCAGTCTAGAATAGAGGGACGTAAAGCTAGAAGCTGGAAAATATTAAGTTACAGGTAGAACTCAGTCTAGAATAGAGGGACGTAAAGCTAGAAGCTGGAAAATATTAAGTTACAGGTAGAACTCAGTCTAGAATAGAGGGACTTAAAGGTAGAAGCTGGAAAATATTAAGTTACAGGTAGCAGTCTAGAATAGAGGGACGTAAAGCTAGAAGCTGGAAAATATTAAGTTACAGGTAGAACTCAGTCTAGAATAGAGGGACTTAAAGCTAGAAGCTGGAAAATATTAAGTTACAGGTAGAACTCAGTCTAGAATAGAGGGACGTAAAGGTAGAAGCTGGAAAATATTAAGTTACAGGTAGAACTCAGTCTAGAATAGAGGGACGTAAAGCTAGAAGCTGGAAAATATTAAGTTACAGGTAGCAGTCTAGAATAGAGGGACGTAAAGCTAGAAGCTGGAAAATATTAAGTTACAGGTAGCAGTCTAGAATAGAGGGACTTAAAGCTAGAAGCTGGAAAATATTAAGTTACAGGTAGAACTCAGTCTAGAATAGAGGGACGTAAAGCTAGAAGCTGGAAAATATTAAGTTACAGGTAGAACTCAGTCTAGAATAGAGGGACTTAAAGCTAGAAGCTGGAAAATATTAAGTTACAGGTAGAACTCAGTCTAGAATAGAGGGACGTAAAGCTAGAAGCTGGAAAATATTAAGTTACAGGTAGAACTCAGTCTAGAATAGAGGGACGTAAAGCTAGAAGCTGGAAAATATTAAGTTACAGGTAGCAGTCTAGAATAGAGGGACGTAAAGCTAGAAGCTGGACAATATTAAGTTTTTGGTAGCAATTAAGTCTAGTTGGTTAGTGTATATGGAGACTGAATTCTAAACTGAATTGTCAAGAATATCATATCATAAGGTTTATCTCTCTTTGATAGATTTACCCCTCCCCTCTTAAGCCATTGCATGGCCTTGACCTTGTAAATATATGTAATGTCTAAAATCATTTCACATTGTTATGATTATAATTCTTAAATTGTGTATCTTACTGTGGTTGCAGTCTGCGTCTTCTGGATTATTGGATGGGCTATTTAAGGTACAGTGATGCTATCACAGAGAAGTATTACAATGCAGATGGAGTTATTGTTCTTGGTCGCACTGCCCACCAGGTGGAGTATGATGAAATGCTGACATCTCTCCAGGCTCTTGCAGTATTGCCATTCCAGCTGGGACTCGACTTCCTGACAGAGAAATATGCAAAAAGTAAATCTGCTTCCCCTTCACATAGCCCCTGTAAGGGTCTTCCCCTGGGAAGCCCAACAGATGACAGACAGGCTCCAGCTAAGCCCCCACGACGTACCCCAACTGGTATCACCTCAAAAGCATGGGATTGGCTCAAAGGTGGAACTACAGAAACACCTGCAGAGCCAGCTGTGGCAGAGTCCAATGGCATGATTTCCAGTTTCACGGGAATATTAGGAAAATGGACCGGATGGGACACCTCAAAAGGGGATGGGCTTCAAGCTCCTCCTACTAGTTGTCCGTCACAATCACCTACCAATCAGAAACAGTCGCCTCAAAATGTACTCATGGTCGAGAATGAAGTACAAGAACCAACTGCTTCACTACAAAAATTGTCAGGAAGATGTCCTGTTGCCGAAGCAGAAGATCTCCAAGATTGTGAGATGGAATCTAAGGGAGACAAATCCTGTTCTCCTGTCGACGTTAAAAAAGAAGAGGAGCTCGTATCAGAAACTGTGGTAACTAAAGAAACGTCTCCCATTCATCAAAAGAGTTCAAATGAAAAGAAAACAATTGAGAAGAAAAAAGCTCCTGAAAAGCTTGATCCTGACAAGGAAGAAGAGAGCCCAGTAAACGCGGAGAAGACTATGATTGAATCAGTGACCGGCATTACACAGAAACTTCTTGGTATGGGCAGCCAGAAGGAAAAACCAGCCTACAGGAAGGGTGTTACTGACTATGACTTCAACAAGGAGCAGGGAGAGAAAACGGAAGGAGAGAAAAAGCTGGAAAATGATACTTCTGAAACGTCAACAGAGAGTCCTAAATCTCCAGCTCAGGAGAGTTCTAAAGTCAATACAGAGGCAGGTGCAGATGAAAAAGATGCTCCAGTTACAGACAAACCAGCAAAACCAGAGGGAGAGAAATTACAGACATCAGCAGAACGCAAGTCCATGATCCCCACGGCAACCTCTCGCCCGAGGAATTTGGGGACAGCCAAGGGAAAGGTGGAGGCTAAACCAACATCAGGGAAAAACAAATCAGGCTTGATAAAGCTGTTTGATAAATTGTTGTTGCCTAAGGATAGTACTACAACACCAAAAGCTGCACCAACCTCACAAATTCCCAAGATTAAGAACCGATGGAGCTGGGGTGCAGGAGCACAGAATCCAGTGCCAGACAACGCAAAAACTGGTGTTGGAGCCCGACCCAAATCTGTTTGTGTCATGAAGACAGAATCTACTCCAAAACCAGCAAGCACTGCTCCAGCAAAGAGGAGACCCATTACTACAACAACCAAGGAGGAGCCAAAAAACTTGAATGCCTCCCCAGTGACAAGAGTGGGAAGAGACCAAAATGGTGGACTCGCAAAAGATCAAGCAGAATTAAACGCGACTCAGAGTAAAGGGGACGCAATTAAGGATGCAGACATGTCCGTTCAAAATGCCCAAAATGGGGGACAGGATCAACTTCTCACTATCCAGCTGGATCAGACCACTGGGGAGGCGTCACTACACCAGACCTTTCATGTTGACGATAACGGAGAGGCAAAACTGAGACAACGGTACCAGCTGGAACAGACGGGCGAGGCGCGCGACCAAAACCTCACTGTACAGTGGGACCGATGCAGTCCTGTAAAACTGCAACAGACCGTTCACCTGGACCAGCGCCAAGCCAAGCTGCACCAGACCGTAGAAGTCGACCAGGAGACTGAAGGAACAGCACCAGTCAAGGTAGGCCAGGGGGCAGCACTGGCAAAGACAGGGCAAGTATCTAACAAAGCAGACAGCAAGGATGAAAATACAGGTGAAGATCAGGATGAAAGTAAGGGAAAGAAGGGAAAAGGGGGAGATAAAAAGGCTGTGGCGGCTGGACGTGCTGCATGGAAATCTGTAGAAAGAGGACCCACTCTATTTCTACCAACTAACTGTAAATTCCTTGACAATATCGAAAAACGAAACAGTGACCCGGAGTCACCCAAGAGAAAAGCATCACCCAACAGAAGGTCCACACCATCCAGCACAAATTCAAGCCCAGCAAACTCACCGAAGTCACCAAGGGCAAACAAGACGCGGAGGCGATGGTCTCTGCATGGCAACTCATTAAAAAAGGACCCTGCTGACCTTGATATTCTGAATTCGAACCCATCTGACAACAAAGTTCTTAAGTCTGCTCCTACAACTCCATCCAAGGGCAAGACAGTGAAGGCCGACCAATCAAACAACACCTCAGATAAATCAGACCAATCAAAACAAAGCAAATCTGAAAAATCGAAAAATGCTGCAAAAAATTTGGCCAATGGAAAAGCAGCCAGTGGTGATAAAGAGAAAAAGAAACTAGCCAATCAAAAAAGTAACAAAGAGGAGAAAGCAAGTAATGAAAAGAAGAGTTCTGATGAGAAAGAAGAAGGAGAATTTCGTTTCCTCAAACCCGTCTATAGGTATGTTCATATAAAATGTCTTCACACATTTCATTCAAGTTATTTTCCTTCAATAACCTATAGTTATTTTTAGTTTTGCTAACCTAGAGTTATTTTTAGTTTTACTAACCTATAGTTATTTTGGTTTTACTAACCTATAGTTATTTTGGTTTTACTAACCTATAGTTATTTATAGTTTTACTAACTTATAGTTATTTATAGTTTTACTAACCCATAGTTATTTATAGTTTTACTAACCTATACTTGTTTTTAGTTTTACTAACCTATAGTTATTTTTAGTTTTACTAACTTATAGTTATTTATAGTTTTACTAACCTATAGTTATTTATAGTTATTTTTAGTTATTTTCAGTTTTACTAACTTATAGTTATTTATAGTGAAGTATATGTGTATAATAAAATATATTTCAAATAATTTCCTTTATTCTAATAAATACGTTTGTCAGTTATATGCTATCTTAAACATTATACCTGTGATTTGTGTTAGAGTTAAGGATATATGCTACCTTACACATTATACCTGTGAACTGTGTAAGAGTTAAGGTTATATGCTACCTTACACATTATACCTGTGATCTGTGTAAGAGTTAAGGTGATATGCTAACTTACACATTATACCTGTGATCTGTGTAAGAGTTAAGGTGTTATGCTAACTTACACATTATACCTGTGATTTGTGTTAGAGTTAAGGTTATATGCTACCTTACACATTATACCTGTGAACTGTGTAAGAGTTAAGGTTATATGCTACCTTACACATTATACCTGTGATCTGTGTAAGAGTTAAGGTGATATGCTAACTTACACATTATACCTGTGATCTGTGTAAGAGTTAAGGTGTTATGCTAACTTACACATTATACCTGTGATTTGTGTTAGAGTTAAGGTTATATGCTACCTTACACATTATACCTGTGCCATTGTTGCGAGTTTCAGTGAAATCAATGAGTTACAATACTATAGCTAGGTGATTTCATTTCCTTATTTTTTATATCTTATGTTTTTAATAATGATCCTTGTTTTAATTATAGGTACATCCAGACTCTGAAGGCATATGAGGCCACTGACCCGTCGTACCTGTCATATGGTGAAGGGGAGTACTTTGAGGTGCTCGCACAGATTGATGCAATTCGACTCTTCTGTGTCCAGGGAAAGAAAGAGGGTCTTATTCAACTTGAGGCTGTCAAGTCTGTCACTGACAAGGATGAATTCCATGTTCTGCATGACAATTTTTATCGATGATATTAATAGATTATTGTGTGCATCTTCAGTAGAACTCAAGGGAGATAATCTACTCCGTAATGAATAGAAAAAGGATTGTTACTTGGAAATGGACAAAGTCTTTGATGCTGAAAGGCCATACACAAAAAGGAAAGAAACAGCAAAGGAAATATTTGAAAAATATTGATAAAATGTGATCTTCATGAAAAGAGTACTGACAAAGGGAGGTAATTGTGTGATCTTTGGATTGTGTGATGTGATATCTAGAGTGAGAGATCATTAGATGTAATACTTTTGGTGATATTCTCATAGTTCAAATGTTTAGATTTTATTTCATGTTCTAAGAAAATTTTATCGCATACTTAACTTTTATTCTTAAGTGATATTATGTATAATTTAGTGTGTTGTTTTATATCGAAGATGAAAATGATTCTAGAATATACATATGTTAGGATATAATTATTGTAATTAACTGGAGGGTACAATGGTGTAACAGACATAAACAGACACCATGGTAACATATTTCTTTTGGTTCTAAGGGAAATATAGGTAACCATGACAACACACACTGGAGAAAAGGCAATAAACCAGTTGGAATATGCAAACATTTTGTGTCAAGTGAAGCAAGGATTTTGCCTGTGAGCTCACAAGTTCGGAATATGGAAAAATGCTGTTGATAGATGTTTTTCATTGAGGAGTTAATAGGGTATATACAGTACTGGTTCTATTGTCAGTGTCTTATTGTCCTGTATTTGTCATTGATATTAGGTTTTCTTTTTAAAACAAATATTTATAAAACTGTCCATTTGATCAAAAATGAAATCTTTAACTACATCAAACATTGACCTCTGCATTTGATGCATCAAAATCTGCAACCTCTTTTTTTTTTTTTTAATCGAGATACAAAACAGAGTACAAATAAAGAGAGGATATTTTGAAACATTTGTCCTTTACTTGTCAAATATATGGTTGAAACAAACAAAATTTCACAGAGTTATATAGATTCAAGTAGAATTACAATAAGGTGTTACAGATGCTTGGTAATCAAGGATTTATAATCTTATTTAAAGTCTGTAACTAAAACGCAGATTTTTTTTGCATGTTTTTCCGTTGAATATCATATTTATTTAACATGCAGAGGGAATTTTGTCATACATGTAAAAAAAAATTACAATCAACTGAAAATCATTTATCCTTTTAATATCATACAAATAATGTGCTATTAAAAGAAATTTTAGAGAATTTTCTACCAACAATGCTGTAAGCTGACAAGCAATATAGGTGTAAGAATTAGGATTCACTTTTAGGTTCACAGGTTTTCACCTTGATTCAGTTTGTAAAGTAAGTATTATAAATATCTCTTGTAGAAGTTGTATGTTTATTGTAGCACTATTAGGGCACAGACTGATTCCAGGCCTTCTGTTCCATTTTCTCAATCTTTCATTTATTGATAATGTATACAAAAATAGAAAAAAAAAACCATCATCATATTAAGTATCATGTGATGTGTTAAAAACTTGCTGATAATCAGTTGGACCTATCTTTGAAGTCAACAAAATAATGATACAAATTTTCAAAATCAATTTTTTTACAGGGAACAAATCATGTGCTTGTATATTCATATTCATCATGAAGATTGATAGTTGTATTTACAATTAAATTCTGACTCCATAATCACCAACATTGATTCATGTTGAAGTGAAGACTTTGGCAGAATGAAAACAGATTGAACTGAATTGTATCAGCATATTGACAAAGTGTCTACAGATTGTGAAGTGTATGATATATAGGGGTGATATTTGTTTACGTTTGCATGAGTTATCTCCCTTCCTAACAGTCACCATGTACAGCATTGTTATGGCACTGGATTTGAACCATGACAGTGTAGAGAAAAGACGGTCAAGTCTTTAATTAATAAGAAGAAAGTTTACATATTCTTAACTTTAGTGCTGCTAGTTTAACTTATATCGTTAGATCAGCCCGATGTGGAATGTTTCACAACCTGCTCAAATCGGGGAAAATGCTGGAATCACCAGATAGTTCATAACTTAAAAAATAAAGATCACCAATTTATGTATTGAGGGTACCTGTTGGAAAAGGAAGTAACTCTTTTATCTGTAAGTGCAAAATGAAGAATGTTTGCAAATCAAAGTGATTTATCCATAAATGTTCTTATATCTACCCTGTATCATTCATCCCATTAACTTGATGTTAATTTCAAATTATTCTATTTGAAAAAATATGATACCAGTCTATGTGATATCATTTCTGTGTAGTTATATACACATGGTTTCTTGTGGGGAAGATTTGTCTCCCCTTACAGTCATCACCATAACTTGTGGGAAAAACAGTATTTTACATTGCTTTGTATAATAGCTCAATCCATACAGGTGTCCAGACCTGCCACCCCTCCTATTTTGATCAGTCCAGAGTCGTACCCGTCACATATAGGGGAGGAAGGAGGGGCGCCACACTTAATGAAGGATTTGTAACGATTCTATCCTGACAGGTGTTTTAATTTGGTTGAATGGTGAAGAAGCATGTGTTCAAAGCTGCATATTCAAGTTTCGTTGCAATTTTCGTTTTATGTATTTCGTTTCAAATTAATATGTATAAAGCTAAATTGAATATGGATTGATTTGTCGAAGGATTTTGTTAGAAAGTCTCATGATAACCAATCATTCATCTCCAGAAGGATTTTAGTACAGAATCTCATCACTCTATGATATAAGGATATTATCAAAGATTGTGTATCTCTCATTCACATCAGAGTTATTATTCAATATATAGACAATATAGGGCTGGATTACATCATAACATTACACCCAAATAGTCATCTGCTGTGGAGGTCAAAGTTCACCTTATAACCTAGTTTGTATTTCATGTAAATAGTTGAAAGGAACATCTTATTGTCGGTAAAATGTATGGTCATTGGTCTGTTTGGGATGTCAACTTATTATTTCATACTGGAGAATGTACTTCCAGTTTAGATCTGATCCTGCTGGACTCTGTGTAAATCTTGATCCTTTGTTATCTAAATCCTAAACACCATTTTAGCAAAATATTTCTAATTAATACAATTAATTTCATCTCCAAATGTAAAGATATTACTGCATTAATACCATGTAAATCAATTTTTAGTGTTAATTTATATTACTAGAACCAGATTCCACCACTCTATAGGTCATCAAAATGTTTGTATCCAGTTCAGTGTTCTGATAACTTTTTAAGGTTCTAACAGGACTTGACTCTACTGCTCCTTTATAGATCACCAAAATGTTTGTACTAAGTGGTTACTCAAAAAGAATATACAAAATAGAACTAGATTCTGAGATCACAGAAATGTTTGTATACAGTGCTTGTTAGTGGTTACCCAGTAATAATTCTAATTGATCTAACAACAGTATTTATACCATCTATTTGCCCACAAGAGGATCTGTGTCAGTCTTTAAAGTCAACTCTCACTTTAATTAATGCCATTAAGAAATACTTTTTTTTTTTTTTAAATTTGTCTTGAACAAGTCTCTACTAGTCACCATAGAATTAAACATAATCTGAAATGGAGATCCAGATGTGGAACATCAACATCCAGCATGTCCTGTTTTAGTGTTCGGATAACGTGAGAAGTATAAACAAAAATAAAAATAAACACATTCTTGTGAAGACTTAAGTGTTTAAAGTATTCTGAGCCAGTATCTGATCTTTATCAGTTCACCTCAAAATCTCAAATATATTATAGCATGTTTTATCTTTTAATTCCAACTTTAATCTGCCACATAAAAGCATCAGTTGAATAATTCCATTTAAAGTAAGAGTTTCCTTAATTTCTCAAATATCCTATGTAATTGATTCTTTGTAACTGTCTGGATTTTGTGGTTTCACAGATTTCAGAAGTGGAAATGGCTCTCTCTGCTGTGTTACTGGATGCTCTGCATTCTTCTCCTTTCACAATTTATAATAACAAAGTACAGTCATATTTCCGTTTATCAAGATATGTATATCCATCTCTTCAAATATTCTTCAGTCTGATTAGCATATTCATCTTCTTAATTTACATAAAATTCATTTGCATATAAACTCTAGATATTGAAACTCATTTACATATTCATTTTTGATGATCATATTCATCTTCTAGATATAAATATTCATTAACATTCATCTTCTAGATATGAATATTCATTAACATTCATCTTGATATTTGCATTACCTGGGTAATAATTATAATGAATACTTTTCTTTAAGGCTATTCCGTTATTCATATATATCTTTCAGAATATTTCATTGTTTGAAATAGTATATGTAGTATGTATTCATGCATGTTCATTTCACAACATAGTACATTCAGTATAGACATCTAATGAAGAATATACCCTTGTATGTAGATAGGTGTCCACTCTGTCTTTGTGATAATTCAGACCCTAGGGTGATCCTACCAATGCATGTGGCACGAGATCTCAGATTTTTTTTTTAGTAATAAATATTGTTGCAAATTTCTTACTAAACATTTATTCTGAGATCCAGCTCTCATGAAATACAATTTTGTTCAGTGTTTCAGTTGAGACTGTTTAGTTGACCTAAGGTCAACATGAACAGGTATCCATTTTAAAATGCTTCATACATTTTGTTCTCTCTGTGTTACATTTTTACCTTGAGTGCAATATTTTTCCTTTTTATTTTGTTCATGTCTGTTAAGTTATTTATTGAGGATATATTGATGTTTTACGTCATTCTTGTGATGATAATTTAAATATGTCTCTAGGCGACCATACTCGTGTTGTTGACAACATTTTTGTGATAATTCTGTTTTATTGCTTTTCTGTGACTATAATAAAGCATTACTTACTCAGAGAGTCTTCTAGTGATGAATGTACAAACATGTGTCAACAGAGACTTGTACAATGTACAAACACATGTCAACAGGGACTTGTACAATGTACAAACACATGTCAACAGGGACTTGTACAATGTACAAACACATGTCAACAAAGACTTGTATAAGTACAAATATGTGTCAACAGAGACTTGTACAATGTACAAACATGTGTCAACAGAAACTTGTACAATTTACAAACACATGTCGAAAGAGACTTGTACAATGAACAAACACATGTCAACAGAGACTTGTACAATGTACAAATATGTCAACAAAGACATGTACAATGTACAATTACATGTCAACAGAAACTTGTACAATGTACAAACACATGTCAACAGAGACTTGTACAATGTACAAACACATGTCAACAAAGACTTGTACAATTTACAAACACATGTCGAAAGAGACTTGTACAATGAACAAACACATGTCAACAGAGACTTGTACAATGTACAAACACATGTCAACAGACTTGTACAATGTACAAACATGTGTCAACAGAGACTTGTACAATGTACAAACACATGTCAACAGACTTGTACAATGTACAAACATGTGTCAACAGAGACTTGTACAATGTACAAACATGTGTCAACAGAGACTTGTACAATGTACAAACGTGTCAACAGAGACTTGTACAATGTACAAATATGTGTCAACAGAGACTTGTACAATGTACAAACATGTGTCAACAGAGACTTGTACAGTGTACAAACACATGTCAACAGAGACTTATACAATGTACAAACATGTGTCAACAGAGACTTGTACAATATACAAACACATCAACAGACTTGCACAATGTACAAACGTGTCAACAGAGACTTGTACAATGTACAAATATGTGTCAACAGAGACTTGTACAACGTACAAACACATGTCAACAAAGACTTGTATAATGTACAAATATGTGTCAACAGAGACTTGTACAATGTACAAACACATCAACAGACTTGCACAATGTACAAACATGTCAACAGAGACTTGTACAATGTACAAACACATGTCAACAGACTTGTACAATGTACAAACACATGTCAACAGAGACTTGTACAATGTACAAACACATGTCAACAGAGACTTGCACCAAGCGTTAAGTTTAAACTACTGTCACTCTTTGAGAGGGAACTTGCCTACGATAAATAAGCTGCTGATATTTGTCTAGAGACAACCTCAGTCTGCCAGGGGAATGAAGACAGAAATGTAACTTGTCGGTGAGGAGCTATTCAATCCATAAAAACACCACTTTATAACAACATCAAAAGAATAGACAATTTTCAGTATTTAATGTTCAGTATTAAAATGACTTTTTCATCAAAATCCATGAAGAGCATCACATCTGATACTCTGTATTCATTACTAATGCTGCAAGATGAACAGGATGACACCAATAAGCAGCTGTATCTACCCGGTAAGGTGTACAATGAGAACTTCCCTAAGAGGCATAGCAGTTCCCCAGTAATGTTAGAGGTTTACCCAGCACAATACATATAACAAGCATAACAAGTCTTGTTCAGAATTAATGAATGTTTATTAATAAATGAGGGATTGTCACCAGACAGACCTACACATGACACAATTTCTTATGACAACAAAATATTATATATCCCACAAAATTATTAATGTAATGAAAACTAACATCCCACATACTGAATCAATAAGATCTTAAGGCAGCATGTCCTCATCCTCGGTTCTCCAGCGGTTACGATCACTCTCCTTCTCTGACACCTGGAACATGTCATGGAAAAAGTGAAGGCACCAGCGAAGCAATTTGATTGGTTCCAGCAGAAAAAACAGACCAATCAAAGGCTGATATGCTTCTTATGAAGTTTACCAAGGAGCGACATCCAACTTCAAAGTCAGTACACCATACCGTTATGAAACCTCAACATTCGTGTGTTGTACATCAAAGGATCAAATTAGTCTTTTTGTCTTGTCCACAAGATGTCACACATGGAAATTTCAATTTTGCCATGACATGTTCCAGGGGTGCAGTAAGCGAAAGTGGTTGTAACCCCTTAAGTATTGAGGATGGGATGACCTGTCACAGAATTGTAAGTACAGTTTAAAAACAAATCTGCTGTTGACACCTGATTACGATGAAACACATAGTATGGCCACATGTTATGTAAAACCATTGCGACAGCGTTTAGTATGGTTGATATCTTCGGTCATGTCTCTGACTGCCATGTCTCCACTGACCTTGACCTTGGTGGCGGTCATAATGACTTTGGTCTCTATGTCCGTGGTAGTGTCTATCATTATCATAGCCACCACGTGACTGGTTACCATAGTTCCTGTTGCCATAGTTACCATGTTGGCTATGCTGATGATACCCTCTCCCACCTCTGCCCCTGTAAATATATCAACCAAGTCTCATTATTTTCGTATTTCTCCGTGTCACTATAAATCTAACACAACTGTATATGTAATAGATTCTAAATTGTTATTGAAAACAAAATTGTATTTATTTTCCAAAACAGCATATACAAAATGTATGTGTGAGATCGATATTTTGTAGTTGTCTTTGCTCAGGCTAGTTCATGCAGATCAAAATTTTTCATAAGGTTTAGAAATAAACACAAAGGCCTGTTATTGGTATATTTGTATAGTGAGATATAACAATCATTTCCTGATATTTTTAATCACTTCAAAATATTTACTGAGTATTCAATAACACAAAATATACAAGTTCAGAACACTATCTTTTAATTTCAATGAGTACCATTACTAGAAGATATAGATGGTCCTTAAACACTTGAGTGAGTTACACATGAGTCCAGGATTCAAAGACCTGAGTTTCAAAAATCAACAAGAGGCCCATGGGGCCTTAACAGTCATCTGACATAAAATACAAGATTTCAAATTTTGAACTCGAGAAGAAGTCGAAAATGTGTTTTCAAGATGTTGGATTTCGGACCGACCCGAAATTAAGAGACTTTGGTCAGGATCATGTCACGATCTTTTCAGGTAAGTTTCAGCTCAATGAGACACGTAGAACTTGAGAAGAAGTTGGAAATGTTTACGACGGACGATGTACGATGTACAGCGCCGGACAAAAGGCGATCGCAATAGGTCATCAGACCCTTCAGTCAGATGACCTAAAAATGCCGCAAATAGAATGAGAAAAGTGATCTTTTCAGGACAGATCTTGAGATGGAAGTATATAAAGGTCAGAACAGAGGAATCCTGACAGTAACCCAACACATTTCCAGTCAAGTGGATCTTGGTTACCTATCAACACACAATAATACCTATAAGCCTGCTTAGGGAAAGATCCAAGTGACACAACAGCAAATATTCAGTCTTGCAAACAATCCATACAAACTTCATCATCCAATATAACTTTATAGTGAGATCGATACCCAACACTAGATGAAATGGAGGAAGGGAAGTAACTCTGCAATAACTAGTGACCTGTTACAGAGGACAAACTAACAGTGGCCTGTATATAAGGACAAATAACAGTGGCCTGTTACAGAGGACAAAGTGGCTAACAGTGGCCTGTTACAGAGGACAAGCTTTTAGATTGTTACAGAGGACAAGTCTAACAGTGGCCTGTTACAGAGGAAACCAAAATTTCAAATAAGTGTGAAAAATGACAAGCTAACAGTGGCCTGTTACAGAGGACAAGCTAACAGTGGCCTGTTACAGAGGACAAACTAACAGTGGCCTGTTACAGAGGACAAGCTAACAGTGGCCTGTTACAGAGGACAAGCTAACAGTGGCCTGTTACAGAGGACAAACTAACAGTGGCCTGTTACAGAGGACAAGCTAACAGTGGCCTGTTACAGAGGACAAGCTAACAGTGGCCTGTTACAGAGGACAAACTAACAGTGGCCTGTTACAGAGGACAAACTAACAGTGGCCTGTTACAGAGGACAAACTAACAGTGGCCTGTTACAGAGGACAAACTAACAGTGGCCTGTTACAGAGGACAAGCTAACAGTGGCCTGTTACAGAGGACAAACTAACAGTGGCCTGTTACAGAGGACAAGCTAACAGTGGCCTGTTACAGAGGACAAGCTAACAGTGGCCTGTTACAGAGGACAAACTAACAGTGGCCTGTTACAGAGGACAAACTAACAGTGGCCTGTTACAGAGGACAAGCTAACAGTCTTCTGTTACAGAGGACAAGCTAACAGTCTTCTGTTACAGAGGACAAGCTAACAGTCTTCTGTTACAGAGGACAAACTAACAGTGGCCTGTTACAGAGGACAAGCTAACAGTGGCCTGTTACAGAGGACAAACTAACAGTGGCCTGTTACAGAGGACAAACTAACAGTCTTCTGTTACAGAGGACAAGCTAACAGTGGCCTGTTACAGAGGACAAGCTAACAGTGGCCTGTTACAGAGGACAAACTAACAGTGGCCTGTTACAGAGGACAAGCTAACAGTGGCCTGTTACAGAGGACAAACTAACAGTGGCCTGTTACAGAGGACAAGCTAACAGTGGCCTGTTACAGAGGACAAACTAACAGTGGCCTGTTACAGAGGACAAACTAACAGTGGCCTGTTACAGAGGACAAACTAACAGTGGCCTGTTACAGAGGACAAACTAACAGTGGCCTGTTACAGAGGACAAACTAACAGTGGCCTGTTACAGGAGAAGAAGCTAACAGTGGCCTGTTACAGAATAAGAAGCCTATAGATTAATGACAAATGTGATAATATTCCATGACATCTATCAATCTATAAATAAGTACTACATGTGACAGTTCTGTCCATTCTAGTTTATGCACATTACCAAAATGAAAAAAAAAAAAAAAAATGTTAAAAAATCTGTGTGAATTCTATCACAGAGAATACCAGGTATGTAGCAATAAGACAAAGACAGAATGATTTTCTCCAGCTTTAGTGATCAATTCTACAAACCTATTGCGGTCGTAGTTTCGATTCTGTTTCGGAAACCAGTTCTTCACACATGGGGGTGGGGCTTTGCTGGACTGGAGTACATCCTGATAGCTGAAAAGCAGCAAAATGAAAAAAATACACAACTTGTATAACATGTAATGATACATTTTCACATTATCATTGTATTAATGGTTGTGTTTCTATGGTTCAAATTCATATAATTTCCCCCACAGTTCAAAGCATAAATAACATATCTTTTCAGTAGTCATGAAAAGACTTATGGATTTTTCTATCAATTCCATTTGGATTTACCTCTGTAATTGTGTCTCAGACAAAAAAGAGAACCTCTTTATATTCAAAATCAATTTTTATGGGATATATATTCTTACTATGAACAGGGATGTGTTTTGTTGTCTTTCCTTTAACTCCTGATTGTTAAATTCAGAAGAGTTTTGATATAATATTTGTTTTGTTAATTGAATAAGTATACTGAAGAACCCGTCTTTATCAAACAAGGAAATCAAACAAGTCTACAATTTATTCATTTTTTCTGAAAATATCTCAAAAAGTTATATTTTTGCTGGGGTAACGATAAATACAATTTTTATACCTGGATTTATCAACTATAAAAAATATACAGACCACATAAACAGAAACAGATATGATGTGCTCTTTTTTATTTGTTTCAGGAATCGATTGAAACTGGAGGCTCAAAAAATCTTACTGTTTTTTATCCATACATATACAGAACTTATTTTCTGCAGCTGTGTTTGTTTGCATCATAATTTTCTATGAATATCTATGGCTAATGACTTTAAAAATAAACATTGTTAATTACAACAAACTATCATCATAAATTATACATATACAAAACATGTAAGGAAAGTTTTCAAATTTCTTCAGGATAAAAACAGTTAAACAAATGAAGCAATTTATATCAATTCAAAATTTCAGAAAAGAAATTTAACCTGGAAATTTGTTTAACAATGTTCAAGATATAAACTATATTCCTGTGTAAACCAGCAATTTCGTGAGATTTTTTCAGGCGAGTCCAGAACATTTTCAAAGATTTTAATGAGTTCCCTCACTTAGAGATTTATTAACAGGTTTTTGTGTCCACTATTGTGGCCTTTCAGTGGACGAGATAAGACAAGAAAGTGAGAAGAGTGGGATATAGAAGTAGTAGATTTAATGGGTCCTTAAAATTTGGCTCATAAGAAAGGATCAGTCCAGGATTTAAATATCGGATTCCAAAACATCACAGTGAACTAAACACATGTATATAATTAATGATCACTGGCCACATACACATGGTATTCTGCTGTATTCAGATGGGAGCAAATGCACGTTTATCAGCCGTGTGCCAGAATGATATGTGTGTTTGACGAATTTCATGTATTTTACTTCAAATGAGTTCAGGAAACAGAACCAACGCTGTATGTGCTGGTTGGGTTGGTTGTTGGTTCACTCCTCAGCTGGTCACCCAATGCAGGGCTCTCACACCCCATTTTGGGACTGGGGCCCGGGGCCCTTAGAATTGGGAAAAATAGCGGCGTTTTCCTTAGAATTGGGAAAACTTGGGGTCTAAATAGGGAAAAAAAGGTACTATTTTGCTTTGGGAATGGGGTCGAATATCGGCCCCAAATCTGGCAGATCAAGAGCCCTGCAATGGTATACAGGGTCATTGAGCAATAGAGAAAATCAGGTAAGTATCAATCACGACAGCCTCTAGAGTTGATGTCTATCTGTATATCTTATCTGATGTATTTTACTTGACACAAACTCAATTCTCTGTCCTAATTTTCATTATACCTGTCATCATTCGAGGAATAACGATCAGCAAACATCTCCTCATATATTTTCACCATCCCATCTTCACTGTCTCCTGGTGATCCTGGACTGCCAACATTGTCAGTGCTGGTGCCCTCTTCAGTCATCAGAAAGTTTATTTCTGAAAGCCAAGTTCCTGGTGTCCCAAACAATCACCCTCAATTTACCAGATTCAGTATGCAGTACAAAAGTCAGGTTTGAATCACTACATTATCTGAAACAAAATTAACACCTTTATTTATTTAACTGTGATAGTGAATTAAAACTAAAATAATGATGACTCTTTTCGTTAATAATGTTATGACAAGGATATAATAGGATTATGAAAAAAAATCATTTAATTCAACAATATTCAATCTTATATCAAATAGTAACAAACATAGTATAGAAAAACACAATACTGTAAATACTCTTAAATGAAATATTTAAAATCAATAATACTGTTAACCATGCTTTAAAAACTCTCATTCAATTTTTTTATATGAATATCATTTTTACATGATTCATCAGAGTGGATAACCTCACTTAACATTATAAGAAACAATTATGACTGTTTCAACTAGGGCCGCGTTCGCAGTAAGGCGATTTAAACTGCATATCTTATTAACAAAACCATTTATATATACACACTCCATTCACACTACTCTCTCTCTGCTTTTTTTGTTTTTAATTTCTCAATTCTAAATGCAACAATACGTGCACGTGGGAAAAAGTATGAAAAGTGACCTGTAGATATTTCCCAGTGACCAGACCAATATAAAAATCCTGTTATTTTGTCTTCGTGTGGCTTTTTCAATCACACTTGCCCATTTTTTAAGCATAGACAGATAATTTAAGCAGTCTGTAATGATGAAAATGCAAAGACATTACCCTTACCACCGAATTTGCCTCCATCTTTTATCAATCAGTGTGAAGAAAGCGCTCTTTGTCTCTGTGCTTATCATTCAAACATTTCAATGATCAAATTAATAGCGGCATCTTTGTACGGACGTCGTTTCAATTTTTACAATACCAACGTGTGGTTCCGGACTGAGACAACAAATCTGAGTAAATCTAGAATTTACGACAGAATCAACCCGAAGAAAATGTATTACTGAAGGTAAACTTTAAAAACTGATCAAAATTTTTTTAATGAATGTGTACATTTTCTCTGCATTACCTGAATGGGTCTGTCGCAGTCAGCTGGGCATCAGATATCGGTAGGAAAAACAGGATGCAACTTTTCAAATTTCAAAAAAAATTGGCCATGGTTTTTTAAACATAAATAAAGGATGCAGTTTTATGCGTCACTAAACAGACTATCTATGAGTATCAGTTAGGCTGAACCCAGATATACATGTGAATGTTCAGTTACATTCATGCTATATTTAATTTCCATGTTAAAGAAACTGAAAGAAAAAAAGACTAGGGGCAACTCAGGTGTATAGAGTAGGGGTAACTGAGGGGTAAAGACTAGGGGCAAATCAGGGTTATAGAACTAGGGGCAACTCAGGGTTATAGACTAGGGGCAACTCAGGGTTATATGACTAGGGGCAACTCAGGGGTATAGACTAGGGGCAACTCAGGGTTATAGGACTAGGGGCAACTCAGGGGTATAGACTAGGGGCAACTCAGGGTTATTGACTAAGGGAAATTCGGGGGTATAAATTGGAAGTATCTCCCTCAGACAGAATGTTATTCTTTAGATACAAGTCAATGCTGATTGTGATGTTTTAAGTTAAGTGATTAATGTTAGATTTAAAAGAAATAACCATTTGACGAAATAGAACAAACAAACAAAAAGGCCTTGGAAATGTTGTCACATGTGTTTCATTCCTGCAAGATATCATTTACATTTCTTGATAGGAACAATACAACATAACAGCATTAACAATATATTGTTTGTTTTGTAGTGTTGTGGGAGACCTGGTTAGGAGATTTACATCATCATGTTCTCCACAAGTACTCAGAGAAAGTACTGGACCTTCAGTGGAGAGACGGAGCTGGCCACTACCAGGGGTGAAGCTAACACCAGATATATACAAACCCATGGTGCTCATATGATGGTAAGTACATAGTCTTAGAAAGAAATTTTAATCTGTCAGTTTTCCTAAAGGGAAAAAAATATTTACATGGCTGAAAATTTTCATCAAACAATATTTTGAGTAAATTGTCAACAAAAGGTTCAAATATAAAGTTTTACCTTTTCCTTTTTTTCTGATTTTGAAACATTAGTTACTGAATTGACTTTCACTTTTGGTATATTTTACATAGGAAGAACAGAAGATCAAACATTTTCTGACCCCTGAAGAAGAGAGATTAATCTGTCGGCAGACAGAACATGTCCTCAGGGAGTTTTGTAACATCTTTCAGCCTCCCATGCCGAAATGTGTCCTGGTACGTATTACTCTTTACTAACGAAGCTTGAAGTAAGTGATTCTCTCAGAGACTGTCAACTGACGACAGCATTTTTTTTTTTTTCTTTGAAGAGGCGGTTAGCTGCCTCAAACTGTCATGCTGTTCCATGAAATCCCACACTTAAGAATTTAATAATTTCTGATAGCGAAACATATGAGAAATATTAATGTAGCTATTTCTAGCCCCTTCAAAGAAAGATTAATATTATGTGATTTTACTTGAATAACATGTTAACACAGGCTACATTTAATTAAGTCTAAAACTGCTCTATGAAACCTGTGTAAAAATATTGCATAAGAATTGAAAGTTGGGCTTTGATTAATTTTTGAAAGCTTCAAAGTAAAATATTCTCAAGAATGAAATGACATGGACACATTTTTCTAAAAATACACCTTTTTATTAAGGTACATGTTTCTATATAAACATAAATACTCATTTATATTTTAATATAATGCCATACATAGATACGTGTTACATAAATACACATTTTCGTTTTTAAATGAATAAGAAATTTGATAAATGATAGGGTACTAGACAGTGATTGTCTACATCTTGTGTAAAATATTGCTGTTTAAAAATAAAATCTTCTAACACTATCTTTAATTATGTATTAGGTGTTGTCCCATTGCCTGAGTCAGATTTTCTAAAATGATTCCATAACCCCTATATTTACAACAGTTGTCAACATTAAACTGTATATCTGTCCTTGTTACATTCCAGGGGACAGCACTCTGTTACTTCAAGCGATTCTACGCCTCAACCTCAGTGATGGATTACTATCCTAAGGATATTATGTATGTTACCTATATTTAGATATGATTTCTATCAGGTGTTGTATCATTTCCTGGTGATCAAGTATCATTAAGGATTAAAACTGAGCAAGGCATTTGGTCTTTCTATTCATGTACTTGTACAAACTAAGAGTATACTTTAAAAGAAGTTCTACTACTCTTAAAAGGCTTAATTTTTCATCCAGCAGTTTAACGGAAGTTGTGCAGTTTTAATTTTAGCCATTTAACTTTCATGACTTTTGAACATCATTTCTGTTGGGGAAGTTGTCTCAAATTTCCTCTCTTGAAATATTGAGTGGACCAACATACACCATGCAAATTTATTTCAAAAGATTTTCAAGCAGTTAGAAAGATTTTCTGAAATAGGTTATCTATGGCATATTTGTATAACCTTGATTTACATTAGGTAAGCTTTCCACCAAGTTGGAACAGGAAGTAACTTAGTTACACAGAACTGATGTATTAAACAGGAAGTAACTTAGTTACACAGAACTGATGTATTAAACAGGAAGTGACTTAGTTACACAGAACTGATGTAGTAAACAGGAAATGATGTCATTCTCAAACAATGACAGTTGAAGTGGTACATATCATTGTTTATTCATTAGAAAATGATCTCTCTGTTTTGTCAGGCTGACCTGTGTATACCTGGCGTGTAAGGTGGAGGAATTCAATGTGTCCATCGGCCAATTTGTGGGGAACCTGAAGGGAGACCGGGAGAAATTCTCCAATATCATCCTCACTTTTGAACTACTGTTGATGGGAAAGCTTCATTATCACCTCACTGTTCACAACCCATTCAGACCCCTAGAGGGTCTCCTTATAGACATCAAGGTAACCTCTCACTGTTCACAACCCATTCAGACCCCTAGAGGGTCTCCTTATAGACATCAAGGTAACCTCTTACTGTTCACAACCCCTTCAGACCCCTAGAGGGTCTCCTTATAGACATCAAGGTAACCTCTTACTGTTCACAACCCCTTCAGACCCCTAGAGGGTCTCCCTATAGACATCAAGGTAACCTCTTACTGTACACCAGCCCTTCGGACCCCTAGAGGGTCTCTTTATAGACATCAAGGTAACCTCTTACTGTACATAACGCCTTCAAACCCCTAGAGAGTCTCTTTATAGACATCAGGGAAACCTCTTACTGTACATAACGCCTTCAGACCCCTAGTGTCAATGTAACCTCTTTTGACCGCAGGAGGTCACCTCATATACATGAAGGTAACCTTCTAATGTACACAACATATAGATTGTCTCACAGGCAGGAGTGTGTATTTGGTCTTGTAATTGAGATATTATGTCCACGTCACATGCTACTGGTTCAAAGTCCAGGGATTAAGACATGCTACTGGTTCAAAGTCCAGGGATTAAGACATGCTACTTGTTCAAAGTCCAGGGATTAAGACATGCTACTTGTTCAAAGTCCAGGGATTAAGACATGCTACTTGTTCAAAGTCCAGGGATTAAGACATGCTACTGGTTCAAAGTCCAGGGATTAACACATGATACTGGTTCAAAGTCCAGGGATTAACACATGCTACACGTTCAAAGTCCAGGGATTAAGACATGCTACTTGTTCAAAGTCCAGGGATTAAGACATGCTACTGGTTCAAAGTCCAGGGATTAAGACATGCTACTTGTTCAAAGTCCAGAGACTATCACATGCTATTGGTCCAAAGTCCAGGGATTAAGACATGCTACTTGTTCAAAGTCCAGAGACTATCACATGCTATTGGTCCAAAGTCCAGGGATTAAGACATGCTACTTGTTCAAAGTCCAGAGACTATCACATGCTACTTGTTCAAAGTCCAGGGATTAAGACATGCTACTGGTTCAAAGTCCAGAGACTATCACATGCTACTTGTTCAAAGTCCAGGGATTAAGACATGCTACTTGTTCAAAGTCCAGAGACTATCACATGCTACTTGTTGAAAGTCCAGGGATTAAGACATGCTACTGGTTCAAAGTCCTGGTATTAAGACATGCTACTGGTTCAAAGTCCAGGGATTAAGACATGCTACTTGTTCAAAGTCCAGAGACTATCACATGCTACTGGTCCAAAGTCCAGAGACTATCACATGCTATTGGTCCAAAGTCCAGGGACTATCACATGCTATTGGTCCAAAGTCCAGGGACTATCACATGCTATTGGTCCAAAGTCCAGGGATTAAGACATGCTACTTGTTCAAAGTCCAGGGATTAAGACATGCTACTGGTTCAAAGTCCAGAGACTATTACATGCTATTGGTCCAAAGTCCAGGGATTAAGACATGCTACTGGTTCAAAGTCCTGGTATTAAGACATGCTACCGGTTCAAAGTCCAGGGATTAAGACATGCTACTTGTTCAAAGTCCAGGGATTAAGACATGCTACTTGTTCAAAGTCCAGAGACTATCACATGCTACTGGTCCAAAGTCCAGAGACTATCACATGCTATTGGTCCAAAGTCCAGGGACTATCACATGCTATTGGTCCAAAGTCCAGGGACTATCACATGCTATTGGTCCAAAGTCCAGGGACTATCACATGCTATTGGTCCAAAGTCCAGAGACTATCACATGCTATTGGTCCAAAGTCCAGAGACTATCACATGCTATTGGTCCAAAGTTAGGAAGTTGATTTACGTCCGAGGATTTCTAAATGATTTTGATATTTGACTTTGTATTTCTCTCACCAGAGTCGATGTAAGATGATTGAGGATCCAGAGAAACTAAGGGCCTATGCTGAAGCCTTCGTGGACAAATCAGTTGCTAACACAGACGCATGCCTCATTTTCTCCCCATCACAGGTTTGGTTTTACATATAACCTTGATAAGTAAAAACAATGTATGATAAAATGTACATGTATATCATGTGTTTTGTGTTGTATGAATACACGTGTTCATATAAAATTTTGAAAAAAAACCTGAAAAAAATAATTGTCCCTATATTAGAATTTTACAAACAAAGGACTGTATGATTTTCTGATCCTGTGGTAGATAAAAAGTGTTATTTATAGACAAGATGGGGTCACTGACTAATAACTATTACCAGGCAAGGTCGTTATATTTCAGTTACATTACACCTGTATTTCTGAGATTTCAGCAGATAAATACATGTAAAATAAGCATTATTATTGGTCACTTTAAGTAAAACCGTCAGTAATACAGTCAAACTTTGATGTTTAAGGGACTACCAAACACCGTCTATAATGAAACTTCAAATAATTCGTGATGGGTTATATCAACGTCTTTGTTTCCATAGTTCTGTATAGTTGATGACCTGATATTTCTACCTGAACAAACACAAGAACCAAAACACAAGTTTATATGAAAAGATGCATTTTTATCTTAAAACAAACATTTTCATTCATAAAAAGATAATTTTAAGTAGAAATCAACGAGAAATCAATAATGCCTGCTTACATTTACACTTATGCGTTCGTCTGAAAGAGTATGTGTATTTTACAGGTTGATTTTAAAGGAAAGGATGCACAACATTGAAGTCGACTTCAAGTGTTAAAGTAATCATTTTAAGACTGATACATAAATGTTATAGGCACTAATGAATTCAAAAGAGAGCAAATTAATATTATAATGTATTCTGCCCAGAAACGACACCACTAGCATCACACATCTTCGGTCGTAGATACTACAAGAGTGTTTGCCGATGTTCTGACTACTGCTAGTCTAAATCAGTTGGAGAACGCATGATTCACTGATAAATCATTGTGTTTTTTATGTTTTTATGCTTAAAACAGAAAAGTGACGCTTTGGGAATGAATGAAATCATCATACGAGTGATAGAATTTCCTCCGAATGTTTTTAAAATTCCGTAAATTAGACCTAACTAAATCATTATTACAATGGCGGCAGTGAGTATCACACAACGTCCCATTATCCTTGATTAAACGTCATGGCCTGTAAGTAAGCAATTAAAATTAAATCTTGAGTCCAGTCATTAATTAACCTCGTAACACAGAGCTAATGGTAACAGGCTATGGTACTACCATTGTTAGGTAGCACTCATCTTTAAAATGTGTGAAATTGGTGAAAATACCTTTACAATACAGGTAAATGATTTGTTGGAATCATGAGGTGTCAATGAATGTGTTATCGTAAAGATTATGGTTCTGTGTAAAAAAAAATGCATCGAAAATATTGATTTATAAAATTTTGATTCACAAAAGGGTAAGTTAATACTAATATATAAGAATAAAATTCGGTACCAGACAAAAACTTCAATGCATTGAGAAATTTAAACCATTAAAGTTTGATTCATAGAAGTTTAAATGTATTTAGTTTCATACAATATTCAAATCAAGCTTAAAATTAATGACATAAATATTGATTTTTAGATTCATTGTTGAAAATTCATTTTAGATGAATTGTGTTGTTTAACTGATGAAGTCTATTTTTACTCTTTGTGTTTACTAAACCTCTGACTATATTTGTACAAACTGTTCCAGTCCTTGTGTTTTTGTCTTTACTGAACCTCTGACTATATATGTTTGTACAGACTGTTCCAGTCCTTGTCTTTACTAAACCTCTGACTATATATGTTTGTACAGACTGTTCCAGTCCTTGTGTTTTTGTCTTTACTAAACCTCTGACTATATATGTTTGTACAGACTGTTCCAGTCCTTGTCTTTACTAAACCTCTGACTATATATGTTTGTACAGACTGTTCCAGTCCTTGTGTGTTTTTGTCTTTACTAAACCTCTGACTATATATGTTTGTACAGACTGTTCCAGTCCTTGTCTTTACTAAACCTCTGACTATATATGTTTGTACAGACTGTTCCAGTCCTTGTGTTTTTGTCTTTACTAAACCTCTGACTATATATGTTTGTACAGACTGTTCCAGTCCTTGTGTTTACTAAACCTCTGACTATATATGTTTGTACAGACTGTTCCAGTCCTTGTCTTTACTAAACCTCTGACTATATATGTTTGTACAGACTGTTCCAGTCCTTGTCTTTACTAAACCTCTGACTATATATGTTTGTACAGACTGTTCCAGTCCTTGTGTTTTTGTCTTTACTAAACCTCTGACTATATATGTTTGTACAGACTGTTCCAGTCCTTGTGTTTTTGTCTTTACTAAACCTCTGACTATATATGTTTGTACAGACTGTTCCAGTCCTTGTGTTTTTGTCTTTACTAAACCTCTGACTCTCTATGTTTGTACAGACTGTTCCAGTCCTTGTGTTTTTGTCTTTACTAAACCTCTGACTATATATGTTTGTACAGACTGTTCCAGTCCTTGTGTTTTTGTCTTTACTAAACCTCTGACTATATATGTTTGTACAGACTGTTCCAGTCCTTGTCTTTACTAAACCTCTGACTATATATGTTTGTACAGACTGTTCCAGTCCTTGACTTTACTAAACCTCTGACTATATATGTTTGTACAGACTGTTCCAGTCCTTGTGTTTTTGTCTTTACTAAACCTCTGACTCTCTATGTTTGTACCTCTGACTATATATGTTTGTACAGACTGTTCCAGTCCTTGACTTTACTAAACCTCTGACTATATTTGTACAGACTGTTCCAGTCCTTGTGTTTTTGTCTTTACTAAACCTCTGACTATATATGTTTGTACAGACTGTTCCAGTCCTTGTGTTTTTGTCTTTACTAAACCTCTGACTATATATGTTTGTACAGACTGTTCCAGTCCTTGTCTTTACTAAACCTCTGACTATATATGTTTGTACAGACTGTTCCAGTCCTTGACTTTACTAAACCTCTGACTATATATGTTTGTACAGACTGTTCCAGTCCTTGTCTTTACTAAACCTCTGACTATATATGTTTGTACAGACTGTTCCAGTCCTTGTCTTTACTAAACCTCTGGCTATATATGTTTGTACAGACTGTTCCAGTCCTTGTCCTTACTAAACCTCTGACTATATATGTTTGTACAGACTGTTCCAGTCCTTGTGTTTTTGTCTTTACTAAACCTCTGGCTATATATGTTTGTACAGACTGTTCCAGTCCTTGTCTTTACTAAACCTCTGACTATATTTGTACAGACTGTTCCAGTCCTTGTGTTTTTGTCTTTACTAAACCTCTGACTATATTTGTTTAAACAGATTGCTCTGGCTGCTGTTTTAACCAGTGCTGCACAAATCGGCAAGGATCTAGGCAGGTAATCATTTGATAGTTTTGATCGGAGGTGTATGGTTAAACAGACTTTACTAAAGGCGGTTAATGTTGCTCGGGAAGCTAAGTAACTATCAGATCGATCTGTGCTGATGTAGTTGTGTCCTTGGACCACTTTGCCCTTATTACTCTGGATAGCATGTGATGTGCCTCCAGTAAGTTGTTCAGTGTTATAGTCATCGGCTACTACAGGGAGACCCTGCCTTTAAACGACCCTGACTGCTCACAGGGGATAAATTCAGTGAATATACAAACTTGTTCTTGCTTTCCATCTGTCTGTTTTACAGACTGGCATATACTTGTCTGTCTGTCTGTCTGATATGTGTACTGTATAATGTATACAGATGTATTCTGACTGTATATCTGTCCTGTATACAGATGTGGTCTGTCTGTGATATAAGTGTCCTCCTGTCTTGTATACAGATATGTACCTGGTACAAATGTCCATCTGTCTGATATTCAAACCTATACTAACTGACAGTCTGTCTGGTATACAGACCTATACTGACAGTCTGTCTGGTATACAGACCTATACTGTCTGTCTGTCTGATATTCAAACCTATACTAACTGACAGTCTGTCTGGTATACAAATGTACACTGGCTATCTGTCTGGTATACAAATGTACACTGGCTATCTGTCTGGTATACAAATGTACACTGGCTATCTGTCTGGTATACAAATGTACACTGATCTGTCTTGTATAAAAATGTACACTGACTGTCTGTCTGGTATACAAATGTACACTGGCTATTTGTCTGGTATACAAATGTACACTGGCTATCTGTCTGGTATACAAATGCACACTAGCTATCTGTCTGGTATACAAATGTACACTGGCTATCTGTCTGGTATACAAATGTACACTGGCTATCTGTCTGGTATACAAATGTACACTGGCTATCTGTCTGGTATACAAATGTACACTGGCTATCTGTCTGGTATACAAATGTACACTGGCTATCTGTCTGGTATACAAATGTACACTGTCTGTCTGTCTGGTATACAAATGTACACTGGCTATCTGTCTGGTATACAAATGTACACTAGCTATCTGTCTTGTATAAAAATGTACACTGACTGTCTGTCTGGTATACAAATGTACACTGGCTATTTGTCTGGTATACAAATGTACACTGGCTATCTGTCTGGTATACAAATGCACACTAGCTATCTGTCTGGTATACAAATGTACACTGGCTATCTGTCTGGTATACAAATGTACACTGGCTATCTGTCTGGTATACAAATGTACACTGGCTATCTGTCTGGTATACAAATGTACACTGGCTGTCTGTCTGGTATACAAATGTACACTGGCTATCTGTCTGGTATACAAATGTACACTGGCTGTCTGTCTGGTATACAAATGTACACTGTCTGTCTGTCTGGTATACAAATGTACACTGGCTATCTGTCTGGTATACAAATGTACACTAGCTATCTGTCTTGTATAAAAATGTACACTGACTGTCTGTCTGGTATACAAATGTACACTGGCTATCTGTCTGGTATACAGATGTACACTGGCTATCTGTCTGTCTGGTATACAAATGTACACTGTCTGTCTGTCTGGTATACAAATGTACACTGGCTATCTGTCTGGTATACAAATGTACACTGACTGTCTGTCTGGTATACAAATGTACACTGTCTGTCTGTCTGGTATACAAATGTACACTGTCTGTCTGTCTGGTATACAGATGTACACTGGCTGTACAATGTCAGACTTGTAAATGAGAATATATATTCAGATCTATAGTGTAGTTATAGTGATTATTAATGTAGTTTTTAATGACGATGTCTTTGTTCCATTTCCTCAGCTACGTGACAGAGATATTACTACACGGGGCCAAATCAGATGAACTGGAGAAAACTAATTACCAGATAAAACGTGAGTCACTTTTTTAAACCGAACTGTTTACGCTTCTACATATTAACATCCACATCTAAACAATAGAGTCGTTGATATAAGGAGTGAAATCCCCTCACAATTGATATTCTCAGGGATGTTTCCATATACTTATCAATGTCAGCAGCTTCATTCTCTCAGAGCTTTTCATCAAACTTCAATAATGATGGTAAATCATTTCTAAGAAGGTTTGGGATTTTACAATGTTGTAGGGTCAAGGCCATGATAACTTTTAAAAGTCCTGGTCTTTTCCCCAAAAACTTCATCATTTCATAAGAAATCAAATTCTGTGATTTGTATCATTATTGGTCGAGACATAACTGATCTGTTTGTTCCTCCACATAGCTTCTTTAATCCAAACACTGCTGATTATGTTTATCTACTACCCAGCCTCTATAACACAGACACCACTAATCTGGTTGTCCCACTACTCAGCCTCTATAACACAGACACCACTAATCTGGTTGTTCCACTACCCAGCCTCTATAACACAGACACCACTAATCTGGTTGTTCCACTACCCAGCCTCTATAACACAGACACCACTAATCTGGTTGTTCCACTACCCAGCCTCTATAACACAGACACCACTAATCTGGCTGACCCTTTACCCAGCCTCTATAATCCAGACACCACTAATCTGGCTGACCCTTTACCCAGCCTCTATAATCCAGACACCACTAATCTGGTTGTCCCTCTACCCAGCCTCTATAACACAGACACCACTAACCTAGCTGACCCTTTACCCAGCCTCTATAACACAGACACCACTAATCTGGCTGTCCCACTACCCAGCCTCTATAACACAGACACCACTAATCTGGTTGTCCTCTACCCAGCCTCTATAACACAGACACCACTAATCTGGTTGCTCCATTACCCAGCCTCTATAACACAGACACTACTAATCTGGTTGTCCCACTACCCAGCCTCTATAACACAGACACCACTAATCTGGCTGTCCCACTACCCAGCCTCTATAACACAGACACCACTAATCTGGTTGTCCTCTGCCCAGCCTCTATAACACAGACACCACTAATCTGGTTGCTCCATTACCCAGCCTCTATAACACAGACACTACTAATCTGGTTGTCCCACTACCCAGCCTCTATAACACAGACACCACTAATCTGGCTGTCCCACTACCCAGCCTCTATAACACAGACACCACTAACCTAGCTGTCCCACTACCCAGCATCTATAACACAGACACCACTAATCTGGTTGTTCCACAACCAGACTCTATAACACAGACACCACTAATCTGGTTGCTCCATTACCCAGCCTCTATAATCCAGACACCACTAATCTGGCTGTCCCACTACCCACCCTCTATAACACAGACACCACTCACCTAGCTGTCCCTCTACCCAGCCTGTATAACACAGACACCACTAACCTAGCTGTCCCTCTACCCAGCCTCTAAAACACAGACACCACTAATCTGGTTGTCCCTCTACCCAGCCTCTATAACACAGACACCACTAATCTGGTTGTCCCTCTACCCAGCCTCTATAACACAGACACCACTAATCTGGTTGTCCCTCTACCCAGCCTCTATAACACAGACACCACTTACCTAGCTGTCCCTCTACCCAGCCTCTAAAACACAGACACCACTAATCTGGTTGTCCCTCTACCCAGCCTCTATAACACAGACACCACTAATCTGGTTGTCCCTCTACCCAGCCTCTATAACACAGACACCACTAATCTGGTTGTCCCTCTACCCAGCCTCTATAACACAGACACCACTAACCTAGCTGTCCCTCTACCCAGCCTCTAAAACACAGACACCACTAATCTGGTTGTCCCTCTACCCAGCCTCTATAACACAGACACCACTAATCCGGTTGTCCCTCTACCCAGCCTCTATAACACAGACACCACTAATCTGGTTGTTCCACTACCCAGCCTCTATAACACAGACACCACTAATCTGGTTGTTCCACTACCCAGCCTCTATAACACAGACACCACTAATCTGGCTGACCCTTTACCCAGCCTCTATAATCCAGACACCACTAATCTGGTTGTCCCTCTACCCAGCCTCTATAACACGGACACCACTCACCTAGCTGACCCTTTACCCAGCCTCTATAATCCAGACACCACTAATCTGGTTGTCCCACTACCCAGCCTCTATAACACAGACACCACTAACCTAGCTGACCCTTTACCCAGCCTCTATAATCCAGACACCACTAATCTGGTTGTCCCTCTACCCAGCCTCTATAACACAGACATCACTAATCTGGCTGTCCCACTACCCAGCCTCTATAACACAGACACCACTAATCTGGTTGTTCCACTACCCAGCCTCTATGACACAGACACCACTAATCTGGTTGTCCCTCTACCCAGCATCTATAACACAGACACCACTAATCTGGTTGTTCCACAACCAGCCTCTATAACACAGACACCACTAATCTGGTTGTTCCACTACCCAGCATCTATAACACAGACACCACTAATCTGGTTGTTCCACTACCCAGCCTCTATAACACAGACACCACTAATCTGGTTGTTCCACTACCCAGCCTCTATAACACAGACACCACTAATCTGGTTGCTCCACTACCCAGCCTCTATAACACAGACACTATTAATCTGGTTGTCCCACTACCCAGCTTCTATAACACAGACACAACTAATCTGGCTGTCCCACTACCCAGCCTCTATAACACAGACACCACTAATCTGGCTGACCCTTTACCCAGCCTCTATAACACAGACACCACTAATCTGGTTGTCCCTCTACCCAGCCTCTATAACACAGACACCACTAACCTAGCTGACCCTTTACCCAGCCTCTATAACACAGACACCACTAACCTAGCTGACCCTTTACCCAGCCTCTATAACACAGACACCACTAATCTGGCTGTCCCACTACCCAGCCTCTATAACACAGACACCACTAATCTGGTTGTCCTCAGCCACTACCCAGCATCTATAACACAGACACCATAATCCAGCCTCTATAACACAGACACCACTAATCTGGCTGTCCCACTACCCAGCCTCTATAACACAGACACCACTAACCTAGCTGTCCCACTACCCAGCCTCTATAACACAGACACCACTAACCTAGCTGACCCTTTACCCAGCCTCTATAACACAGACACCACTAATCTGGTTGTCCCTCTACCCAGCCTCTATAACACAGACACCACTAATCTGGTTGTCCCACTTCCCAGCCTCTATAACCCTCTACCCAGCCTCTATAACACAGACACCACTAATCTGGTTGTCCCGCTTCCCAGCCTCTATAACACAGACACCACTAATCTGGTTGTCCCTCTACCCAACCTCTATAACTCAGACACCACTAATCTGGCTGTCCCACTACCCAGCCTCTATAACACAGACACCACTAATCTGGTTGTCCCTCTACCCAGCCTCTATAACACAGACACCACTAATCTGGTTGACCCTCTACCCAGCCTCTATAACACAGACACCACTCACCTAGCTGTCCCTCTACCCAGCCTCTATAACACAGACACCACTAATCTGGTTGTCCCTCTACCCAGCCTCTATAACACAGACACCACTAATCTGGTTGCTCCACTACCCAGCCTCTATAACACAGACACTACTAATCTGGTTGTCCCTTTACCCAGCCTCTATAACACAGACACCACTAACCTAGCTGACCCTTTACCCAGCCTTTTATGTATGTATTTACCACCTATGTGTTTTATTGAGGTTCGTGTTTTTTGGTCTTACACCAGGTATAACGTATATGGTGAAATCTCAGAAACCATTGGAGAAGGAACTGGTTGGACGTGTACAGAAAAAACTAATGAAATGTCGTAACCAGGATAACAACCCTGACAGTGAACAGTGAGTGTTTCCTGTAAATTGTTGAACTTTTGTATGAAGAATATTTTTGTTTGTCTTTTTTTTTAATCAAAATGTTTGATTTTTCTAAATTTGATTTTTTACACACACAAATGTCTTTTTTTTTAATCAAAATGTTTGATTTTTCTAAATTTGATTTTTTACACACACAAATGTTTACTTCCATCTTCATTTACTCTCTTTTTTTACTCTAAACTCTCATCTTTTCACAAAACATGTAAAGTTTGGGACCCACTTTGTGAAATTAAATCACGATGAAATGAATCAAACTTCAATTTCTGTCAAAATTAATTCACCTGAAAGTTTATAAGTAAGATTGTATATTAAGATGTTGATATGTAAATAAGTAAGTAAGATTGTATATTAAGATGTTGATATGTAAATAAGTAAAACTGATTATCATTAGAGTTTCTTTACACCAGCTTTGATATTAATTGTTTAGATTTTTGACGATGTTAACTTTGTTTGAACTGAAATCGATTTGTACTCATGATTTTTATTAGATTTAATCATGTTCATGAATTCTTGGATGATATAGTGATGAAACAGAACGCATATACACAACCCATACATTTGTTAACACTCAAGTGGCTTCATTCCTGAATGAATTTTGATCAAACACCACGACCAAAAACTTGCAGAAGAGTTCAAGTTTTAGGTTGTAGGTAAAAGGTCAAGGTCACCAGTATTATTTTTAGGGAATCTGTATGTTTACTCTAGTTGCTTTATTCCTTAAATCATTTTGGTTAAATTCACTATAAGGTCTGGAACTTGTTCTAGTATAGAGTTGTAAGGTAAAGATCACCATTGCTAATTTAAGCGAACTCTTAATGGAATTCAAGCGGCTTCATTACCTTAGAGCATTTGATCAATCTTCATGCAATTGGCCATTATTATTGTGCATCAAACAAGTTTGAACTAAGAAAAGATTACGGAACTACGAAAAAGATTCTGCATCAGTGCGATGCTTTACATATGAATGACTTCTTCTCATGCTGTGCCGTGGCGTCCATTCTCAGTCATCCGTCTGTCCAGTGTCAACTTTTACATATGAATGACTTCTTCTCATGCCATGCCGTGGCATCCATTGTCAGTCATCCATCTGTCCAGTGTCAACTTTTCCATATGAATGACTTCTTCTCATGCCGTTCCGTCCATTGTCAGTCATCCATCTGTCCAGTGTCAACTTTTCCATATGAATGACTTCTTCTCATGCCGTTTGTCGTCCATTGTGTCAACTTTTCCATATGAATGACATCCATCTGTCCAGTGTCAACTTTTCCATATGAATGATTTCATTAAAAAAATGTCATAATATTTGGTTGATAGGTTTCAGGGATAACGCCTGACAAAGTTTGTAAAAGGTCACAGGGACCAAATTTATTAAAACCTTTAAACGATTTCTTCCGATTAAACAAAAGCACAGAAGCATGACATTTGGCTGATGAGTTCCTAGGATGAAACCTTATAAAGTTTGCGAAAAGAAATGACCTTGATCCTTATTCAAGGTCACAAGGATAGAATCTGTCAAAACCTTTATTGTGATTTACCAAACAGCCCGGTAGCATGATATTTAGCTGTTAAGTTCTAACTACGAATCATGATGTGACCTTGACCCATATTCAAGGCTACAGGAGTCTAATTTGTTTTAACATTAAAATGAATCCTTTTAATGAACTAAAAGGCCTAGAAACATAATATTTGTCTATTAAGTTTCTTGGATGAAGCTTGGCAATGCTTGTGAAATGAAATATTGAAAGTCACAGGGATCAAATTTGTCAAATCTTGTATAAGACTTCGTCTGATTAACCAAAAGTCCTGGGGAAGCAGAATATCTGGTGGAAGGGCGTTTCAAGGTCAAAGCCTATGGAATTTTGAGAATGAAAAAGGAAAAAAAAACAGACTTACCTTTAATCAGGTCTTAACTGCCACTGTTTAGAGCTGAGTGTTAGATGTTAAAGGTCATTGTAAAAATTGGTCAAAATTGATTGGATGTGAACACTTTGAACACCAATGATGCAGTATGTGTTTATGTAATTTTTATGTAAAATTAAATACTAGGTGAGTGATGTGTTCCCATTGGGCCTCAACTTCTATTTAACATGTATCTGATCAAAGATTTAATGTTTAATAATCTGACATTTTCACCTGCCTGTTTACTATCTACCTGTCTACTCACCTGCAATATTTACCTGTCTATAGGTACAAGAGGAAGCTGAAGGAGATGCTGGATGAGGACGAAGAACAACAGACTATAAAACGTACAAGGATCAGTGAGGTACTGTTTAAGTAATCACAAATTAGGATTATTAACCATTAATTCTGATCTAGTAACAAAACCAATCAGGTTTGATAGTAGAGCAATATGCTTCCTCCTTTAACAGCTTAATTTGTAGGACTATCAACACTGATAACTTGATCAGTGTGAGATTTTTTTAGTTCCATTAATGACCAGAACATCTTAGCTTCCTGGAAGTAAACAGTTAACGTTAGATTTAATTGTTTCGCTACAAACAATTACAGAATGAGCTGTATATCAATCAGTCTTGATTGCCTGAACGAAAACATGAAGAGCCTACCATTGGAGGAAACTGGGAAACCTGATTCGTTGGACAGGTCACCCCATACATTTCCTGTCTGATAGGAAAGTCAATCAGACACTAAGACCATCGTGGAGTGTAAAGATCTATGTCAAAGAAAATCTATTTAAAAGGGTTTCAGCTGATTTTAGGTGATCTTATGTTTTTGTTGAATATTGATTTCCATTGATATAAAGTTGGTAGGGCTAATATTTTTGTGTTTGGGACAGTTGTGGCTTGTTCATGTGTATTAAATAATATGATTATCTCTCTTAAGCAGTAAGTAGTACAGCATGTATTAGTGTCCATTCACATTTTGTGCCGTTGTTAGGTCCACTGTGTTTCACTCACTTTAATAATCGTTAACTGATGATAGTAACTGGTGACTATGTTGTATTTACAGGAAGAGAAACGTCGGGACAAGGAACTCCTGGGAGTACCCTGAGATGTGTCTGCATCAAATGGATAACAATTTATCTGAAATCATGAAACGGCTGGCGATCACTTTTATTGAAACGGCTGTCAGCCCTCATTATGCTGTTTCAAGGGACAGTGAACATCAGAATGTGCAATTGAAAAACTGTTCAAAGTGACGGTCATTGGTCGGACCTTGTTTAAAGGATGGAAATTAATCACATGTCTGTTTATGGTACAGCTTTTTACTCAACTTTTGTCAAAACACTGCAGGGAACTCTCCCAAGCTGCACATTAGATCATGTGAACTCTGTAAGGATGTAAACAGTAAACTTTAATGTTAGTATGTGGTGATGGAGTCACTGGTTAACTCCGTAAGGATGTTAACAGCAAACTTTAATGTTAGTATGTGTTGATGGAGTCACTGGTTAACTCTGTAAGGATGTTAACAGCAAACTTTAATGTTAGTATGTGGTGATGGAGTCACTGGTTAACTCCGTAAGGATGTTAACAGCAAACTAATGTTAATGTTAGTATGTGGTGTTAACAGTATAATATAATGTTAGAATGTGTTGATGGAGTCCCTTGTGAACTCCGTAAGGATGTTAACAGTATACTATAATGTTAGAATGTGTTGATGGAGTCCCTCGTGAACTCTGTAAGGATGTTAACAGTATAATATAATGTTAGAATGTGTTGATGGAGTCCCTCAGGAACTCTGTACGGATGTTAACAGTATAATATAATGTTAGAATGTGTTGATGGAGTCCCTTGTGAACTCCGTAAGGATGTTAACAGTATACTATAATGTTAGTATGTGTTGATGGAGTCCCTCGTGAACTCTGTAAGGATGTTAACAGTATACTATAATGTTAGTATGTGTTGATGGAGTCCCTCGTGAACTCTGTAAGGATGTTAACAGTATACTATAATGTTAGAATGTGTTGATGGAGTCCCTCGTGAACTCCGTAAGGATGTTAACAGTATAATATAATGTTAGAATGTGTTGATGGAGTCCCTTGTGAACTCCGTAAGGATGTTAACAGTATAATATAATGTTAGAATGTGTTGATGGAGTCCCTCAGGAACTCTGTAAGGATATTTACACTAAACTATAATGTTAGTATGTGGTGAACAGACCATAGTTGCTCAAGACAAAATTTTGACAGTTTACAGTTAACTTCTATATAAATTGTACAAATGTCTTTAGATAAATTTTTTGTGTTAATGCTGTACATCAATCCAATTCTCAAGGATCAACATTTTCATACAAAGACTTTTTTTTTACTTTGAACATTTTAAGGGATGAAGCCCAACAGACCGGTGTATATTAGTTAGATGTTTAATTTGTCAATGTATGTCCAAAATCAACATCAGACAAATAAGGAAGTTTTATTATGAATTAAAATATCCAACATGGAGAGAGAAAGAAAGATGAAGACTTAGTCAACATGGAGAGAAAGAAAGATGAAGACTTAGTCAACATGGAGAGAGAAAGAAAGATGAAGACTTAGTCAACATGGAGAGAGAAAGAAAGATGAAGACTTAGTCAACATGGAGAGAGAAAGAAAGATGAAGACTTAGTCAACATGGAGAGAGAAAGATATATGAAGACTTTGTCAACATAGAGAGAGAAAGAAAGATGAAGACTTAGTCAACATGGAGAGAGAAAGAAAGATGTAGTCAACATGGAGAGAGAAAGATAGATGAAGACTTAGTTAACATGGAGAGAGAAAGAAAGATGTAGACTTAGTCAACATGGAGAGAGAAAGATAGATGAAGACTTAGTTAACATGGAGAGAGAAAGAAAGATGAAGACTTAGTCAACATGGAGAGAGAAAGAAAGATGAAGACTTAGTCAACATAGAGAGAGAGATGATGAAGACTTAGTCAACATGGAGAGAGAAGAGATATGAGAGAGACTTTGTCAACATGGAGAGAGAAGAAAGATGAAGACTGTAGACATGGAGAGAGAAAGAAAGATGGAGAGAGAGTCAACATGGAGAGAGAAAGATTCATGTAGAGAGTCAACATAGAGAGAGAGAAGATAGATGAGACTTAGTCAACATAGAGAGAGAAAGAAAGATGTAGAATTAGTCAACATGGAGAGAGAAAGAAAGATGTAGACTTGGTCAACATGGAGAGAGAGAGAAAGAACATGAGAGAGAAAGAAAGATGTAGACTCAACATGGAGAGAGAAAGATCAACATGGAGAGAGAAAGAAAGATGAAGACTTAGTCAACATAGAGAGAGAAAGAAAGATGAAGACTTAGTCAACATGGAGAGAGAAAGAAAGATGAAGACACCGCCAACATAGAGAAAGAAAGATGAAGACTTAGTCAACATGGAGAGAAAGAAAGATACATGTAGATTTAGTCAACATGGAGAGAAAGAAAGATGAAGACTTCGTCAACATGGAGAGAGAAAGAAAGATGAAGACATAGTCAACATGGAGAGAGAAAGAAAGATGAAGACTTAGTCAACATGGAGAGAGAAAGATTCATGTAGACTTAGTCAACATAGAGAGAGAAAGATAGATGTAGACTTAGTCAACATAGAGAGAGAAAGAAAGATGTAGAATTAGTCAACATGGAGAGAGAAAGAAAGATGAAGACTTAGTCAACATGGAGAGAGAAAGATTCATGTAGACTTAGTCAACATAGAGAGAGAAAGAAAGATGTAGACTTAGTCAACATGGAGAGAGAAAGAAAGATGAAGACTTAGTCAACATGGAAAGAGAAAGATTCATGTAGACTTAGTCAACATAGAGAGAGAAAGATAGATGAAGACTTAGTCAACATGGAGAGAAAGAAAGATGAAGACTTAGTCAACATGGAGAGAAAGAAAGATGTAGACTTAGTCAACATAGAGAGAGAAAGATAGATGATGACTTAGACAATATGGAGAGAGAAAATATATGATGACTATCATCTACTTGGCATGTGGTGTTTTCTTCTTTTATAGTTATCACTTTTGATAGAAGAAAGAAAGTTACTGTCTATGATCGTACATATTTTATCAATAAGCTTATTGCAGGGCTTTTCAAGCTGAAATGATTAGACTAAAATATGATTTTGCTTATTGCAGTTTATAATGTAGCTGCTGTAGCAATTTTTGTGAATGTGCAAAATATCATCTTGATATGTCAAAAAGTGACAATTGCACTTGAATTTGGTTTTTTCTACGTATATATTTGTTTCAGTCCGTCAGTGTTCAGTCATTTCTAATTGTGATTTACTATCTCAAAAAATGTTACTGTTATGTTTTTATTAAAAATTCAGATAGATTGAAGTTTTGTTGTTTTATTCAGATCTTTACAGACAGAATGAATTTTACCATTAAAGATATATTATCACTTATGTCTGGTAAATTAAGAGTTAAAACAAAAAAAGAAACACTCTATGATAACCGCAGGGAATCAACATCTGAATTCTAACATAAACTTTCCAAACTTCTATGTTATTCACCTGTTTTACACCTTGATATCTATATTTGTACTTACGAAAAAAGCCACTTTATATAATGATTTGAAGAAATAACATGTGAAGACTATATTTTTAGGTCACCTGAAGGCTCAAGGTGACCTATTGCCATCATGATTTGTCTGTCGTCGTGCGTCGTTAACTTTTCACACATTTGACTTATTCTCAAGAACCACTGAATGGATTTTGACCAAACTTTGCAAAAAGCATCCCCTTGGGAAGCTGCTTCAAGTTTGCGAAGGAGGGGGGGAAAGGGGGTAAAATTAGGTAAATCTTTAAAAATCTTCTTCTCATGAACCAAAAGTCAGATTAAATTCATATTTGATGTTTAGCGTCCTTATGGCAAGGTCTACATAGTTTGCGAATTAAAAAAAAATCGGGTCAAAAACGGCTCCACTAGAGGGCGCTCAAAAGGGTCAAAAATTTAACTTTGACCGATTTCAACAAAATTTGGTAGAAAGCATCCCTTAGAGAAGGACATATGAAATTATGTTGAAAAAGTGATTATGTTCCCTTTGGTGTCCATAAGGGGTGTAAAAGGGGTCATATGTAAAAACCTTCATTAAATGACTTCTCAAAAACCAATGAATGGATTTTGACCAAACTTGGCACAAAGCATCTCCATGGGAGAGCCGATTCAAGTTTGTGAAGAAAAAGGGCGTGGTCCTGATAGGGGCCCCAGGAGGAGGAAAAAAGGGTGTATAATTAGGTAAATCTTTAAAAAATCTTCTCATGAACCAACAGTCAGATTAACTACTGGGTTGATCATGTCTAAATTTGATACGAATGTTCTACACAAGGTCCTGGCAAGTGTTGTTACATTTTTGCAACATTTTAAAATCCCCAGATTATTGACATATATTCCTCAGGTAACCGTTAAGGCCCCTTCAAAATCCAAGATGGCCGCCCTGACCTCTGTTTGGCTAAGACATTTTGGACTTCCTCTCAAGAACCACTGGGTGGATCATGTTCAAACTTGGTACAGATGTTTTACACATGGTCCTGCACAAATGTTACATTTTTGCAACATTTTAAAATCCCCAGATTATTGACATATATTCCTCAGGTGACCGTTTAGGCCCCTTGGGCCTCTTGTTGGACAGTGTAGTTGTCTGCATGGTTCTGTTAATAAAAATCAAGAAATGTTCTATGTTTGCTATGGTAATTATCTTGAATGTTACTCTGGAAGTCTTGGCTAGATTTCAAGTCACTTTTTCATGAATTACCGCCACAAATTTCAAATTCGTGAATTCCAACTTGGTTCACCAGTCTCCCAGATTTTTCAGACCTGAAAAAAGAATCCTGCTTGTTTCTTGTTCGTAGAAAACTGGCTATTTGGATCAAAATTGCACACTTTAAAATCACCAAAACCTTCTCTATGTAGCCCACCAAGAGATAGTGTCTACATTTTTTCGTCCGTCTGAAATTTTTTTTTTGTCGCTACTTATCAAGAAGCAGTGGACGGATCTCTCTTATTTCATATGTAGGTTCCCCTTGGTCCCTAGTTGTGCATGTTGTATTCGGGACTGACCAGTCGTTTAAAGAAACTGATGGACAGGTTGCCGTCTTTGCTTTTGACAAAGAAAGTTATCACTCTTATAAAATGTTTCTTTCTGCTGGATCTCATATAGATTCCCCTTGGTCCCTAGTTGTATCTTTGATTTTGAGATTGATCAGAATAACAAAATGGCCGAGAGGTGACCATCTTGGATATGGCAGTTAGACATTAGTATCATTATTTCTGCAACTGAATGATCAAATTTTGTATCATGAAGAGGACAAACGAAGAGAAAAGAATGGAAAATATCCAACTTTTAGAAATAATGTAAAAATCAAACAATGGATCCATATTCCTCTAGGATCTCTTGTTTTAACAGGAAAATTATCCTCAAAAATAAATGTCTCTCTCAAACCATAAAGACCTAAAAAT